TTCTCCATCCAAGTGCTGCTGTCGAAGACGCTTGAAGTCTGGCTCCATGGCCTCAAAGTTTTCCATACTGGTGTCGTAGAAGCCCTAAGTCGACACAGGTTTGCATTAGAATGTAATTAACTACAGCTTAGAAACAGGATGAGGTTACGAATACTTTGGAATGATTGAATATTTATACCGAAGCAGGCTTTTTCTCAAAAGGAATCTCTGCGTTGTAGTCCACACCCCTCTTCTTCTTCCTCTTTTTGTTAATTCGAATTCCTGCAGCTCTCAACTCCCTGCGTTTCTGCAGAGCAGCCAGCCGCCTGCAACACATTCAACAGTCAGATGTCTTCTCAGAAGGAAATAACAGTTGTAAAAAGCAGGAAAACTGACCGAGCCTCTTCTAGCTGCTTCTCTCTGGCCTTACGTTTTGCCTTTTTACCCTGAGTGTTGGCCAGACGAGCACGGGCTTCAGAGAGCATCTCCAACTCATCTGTCAAAAACACATGGACACATTTTATTCTACTGAATCTACAAAATGTTTGACCTAGCAAAATCCATGTCAAATAAAAATGGGATCATCACAAAGACACTTTGGAGTGCAGGGGCCACTCCTGAAGACCTTCTATGACTCTGTGGTGGTACGGTGTGGTCTGCTGGAGCAGCAGCATCACAGAGAGGGACAGGAAGAAGCTGGACAAGATCATCAGGAAGTCCAGCTCAGTCCTGGGCTGTTCCCCGGACACAGTGCAGCAGGTGGGGGACAGGAGGGTCCTGAGCAAACTAACATCTATGCTGGACCATGACTGTCACCCCCTGCAGGACACTCTCTCTGCTCTGGAGAGCAGTTTCAGTGACAGACTAATTCACCCTTGATGTGTGAAGAAGAGGTTTAGCAGGTCCTTCCTTTCTGCTGTCAGACTGTACAACGAGAATGTGTAACAAGAATTGCTGAGTCTACAAGTGTTACTGATTATTCACTAGTAACTTTGTCACTAGTCATTTTACCTGCTATTAGTATTACTGCATTATTACATATCCATCTGATATTTCTGCCAAAGTCACTTTACCTGATGATATTATTTCTGATGTTTATTCTGCTCATATTCATCGCTGCTAAGTACAATATGCACATCTGTAAATACTTCTGAACCAAGTGCAATTATATCCCCAGAGTTTATTTTATTTTATTCTTATTTTAATTATAAAGTCTATTATCTTAAATAATAGACTTTATAAGTGCTCTTATTTCCTTCTTTCTCTGCTGTAATGTGCGCAACGTTGACACTGAAATTCCTCCACTGTGAGACGAATAAAGGAATATCTTATATTATCTTTAAGCATGAGCATCAAGACACCGAACAGGCATCAACCAAATCAGATCTCTGGTGTCTTTACATGGTATGGTGTTATATTTTATATTAATGAAACTTAAATCTTTGTATGTAGGCCTATATACTATAAATACACTTATAGTGCGTGGCTCCAAATGGCTGTTATTTCAAAGGCCGTGGAATATTTTAAACTATGCAGTTAACCGGTATCAACCAGTTAATGAGGCTCAGTGGTCGGTCATGAACATTCATAGTTTTTTACATCCCTACTACTGAGTCCTGCGATATCTAATGCATTATTAAATAATATATTGAAGAGTAAAAAACTAAGAATGAGAAAAAAACAAATATTGGCCCTTTGACAGTAGGCTGATATTCCACTGTGGCCCCAGAATGAAAAGTTGCCTGGTTTAGAATCACTGACGTCAGATGAACAATGAACAAAGTCATCCGTTACTATATTTGTTGACAAACTAGCAGACATTCATTAACCATTATGCAATTCAACCAAACGGACACTGGATACTCCAGAAACATTGATCATAGAAATGTGCCATACCTTCATCCATATCCACTGGATCTGGTCTGGCAGGTTTTGTTTCAGGATTGGGGTCAATTTCACCAGGTTTTAATTTCCGTGGGTCATCGCCTACTTCCTCTTCATTATCTCTCTGTGCAGCTTTGTCTCTGAAATCAGTCAGAGGTCAGAAAGAGAGCCACAGAAGGCAGTGGTGATGCACAAAACGTGAGCTTACAGCAGATATTCATAGTGCTCCAAACATTGAGCGGCTGTGCGTCCGATGATGGGGGCGATGGTCCTCCACTGAGTGGGCATCAGCTTGGCCAAATGCAGCAGCTTTTCTTCCTCTTCTCTTGACCATTCTGTTTTCTTGATGCTGGGGTCCAGCCACTCGTACCTAACAGAGCATCACACACTAATTTAAGCCTCTCAGAGTTTGATAATGTGTTAAGTGAATCTAACTCGTCCTAAATCAAAGTCAGTGTAAGCGTAACTTGAGTTCAGCCTGCTTATCAGTATCCTGCTCAATCACCAAAGGCTAAATATAATTTAAATCTTAGTGTATACTAATGCTGTACATGTTTTCCAAACTGTTCTCTTTACCTCTGTTTCTGACAATAAAATACACACTACATTCAATACCAAAAAGGTTTGTATTAGAATGTTTTTTGCCATTGCCAAAAATGCATGAACTAGGATTATGCTTTGTTTTTATTGTGTAATAATAGTAGTAGTAGTAAGATATATACAAGGGCTCAAGATGAAATTAGGTTTAAAATGAAGCGCCAGAGTTAAAAAGTGTTTATGCGTCCAACTGCAGAGGAGAAGACAAAGGGAGATAGTAGGTACTTGAACTTTTGTCTAAGCTACTTATTGCCTTATGGTATTTGTATGTACTGTGCCTGTATGATTTGAACAAACGAACCACACATGTCTTGTACTTCTAATAATGTTCAAGCACAACCAAGTGTAAAACACGTATGAGACAGACTCACATGCAGATGTTCTGTGGTCATCTCCCTGCTCTCTCTAAGTCACAAAGTCAGGCATTCCCCACACTACATCACCTGATGGTGACTACTACAATCCATACTGGAAAATAATAAAACACAAATTCTCACCATCTGGCTTTACACTGTTTGGCAGACTTGCGATGCAGAAGAGACGCAATACGAGACCATTGATTTTTCCCATATTTCATCACCGCCGCCTTGAGGATCTCATCCTGAAGGGAACACGAAATGCTGACACTTTAGACAGAATGAGTTTATGTAGACCCCACAGACCACCTGGACCCACGGCTCTTATGTACATCTGAACCACACTGAGCAGGTAGTGCCAATGTTATGATCAATAAAGATAAACATCTTGTATTAGGAACTATGAACCCCACAGTCCACACAGGCGAAGATTAGCATCAGGCTAATGCAAACCAATGGACTTCATTGTAAAAGTTAGCATCATCATCAGAGCGGCACTGACCTCCGTGTTCCGCCACACGCCTCCTTTGATCATGATCCGTGGCATTTTGAAGTATCTCCTTTAGATCACACACACAACAGAAACAAGTCCACAACTGTGTGGACTTTTACAGAAACAAACAGACACGAACTCCACTTGTGTTTGACGAACATGCGCAAAACACCGGAACTCAGACCCGCGCGGTGCATCATGGGCCTTGGTCAGTGGAGTGCGCCCCCTGCAGGGGGAAAGGATAACACACACAGAGAGGAAGGACTCAGAGATGTATCAGACAGACTGTGGTACAGACTGTGATACAGACTGCGGTACAGACTGTGGTACAGACTGCGATACAGACTGTGGTACAGACTGCGATACAGACTGCGGTACAGACTGCGGTACAGACTGTGATACAGACTGTGGTACAGACTGCGGTACAGACTGCGGTACAGACTGCGGTACAGACTGTGATACAGACTGTGGTACAGACTGTGGTACAGACTGTGGTACAGACTGTGGTACAGACTGTGGTACAGACTGCGATACAGACTGTGGTACAGACTGCGGTACAGACTGCGGTACAGACTGCGGTACAGACTTTGATACAGACTGTGATATAGACTGTGATACAGACTGTGGTACAGACTGTGATACAGACTGTGATACAGACTGCGGTACAGACTGCGATACAGACTGCGGTACAGACTGTGGTACAGACTGCGGTACAGACTGCGGTACAGACTGTGGTACAGACTGTGGTACAGACTGTGGTACAGACTGCAATACAGACTGCGATACAGACTGTGATACAGACTGTGGTACAGACTGTGATACAGACTGTGATACAGACTGCGGTACAGACTGCGGTACAGACTGCGGTACAGACTGCGGTACAGACTGCGGTACAGACTGTGGTACAGACTGCGGTACAGACTGTGATATAGACTGTGATACAGACTGTGGTACAGACTGTGGTACAGACTGTGGTACAGACTGTGATATAGACTGTGATACAGACTGTGGTACAGACTGTGGTACAGACTGTGGTACAGACTGTGGTACAGACTGTGGTACAGACTGCGGTACAGACTGCGGTACAGACTGCAATACAGACTGCGATACAGACTGCGGTACAGACTGTGGTACAGACTGTGGTACAGACTGTGGTACAGACTGTGGTACAGACTGTGGTACAGACTGTGGTACAGACTGTGGTACAGACTGCGATACAGACTGTGGTACAGACTGTGGTACAGACTGTGGTACAGACTGTGATACAGACTGCGGTACAGACTGCGGTACAGACTGTGGTACAGACTGTGATACAGACTGTGATACAGACTGCGGTACAGACTGCGGTACAGACTGTGATACAGACTGCGGTACAGACTGCGGTACAGACTGCGATACAGACTGTGGTACAGACTGTGGTACAGACTGTGGTACAGACTGCGATACAGACTGTGGTACAGACTGTGGTACAGACTGCGATACAGACTGTGGTACAGACTGTGGTACAGACTGTGGTACAGACTGCGGTACAGACTGCGGTACAGACTGTGGTACAGACTGCGATACAGACTGTGATACAGACTGTGGTACAGACTGCGGTACAGACTGCGATACAGACTGCGATACAGACTGTGGTACAGACTGTGGTACAGACTGTGGTACAGACTGCGATACAGACTGTGGTACAGACTGCGGTACAGACTGCGATACAGACTGCGATATAGACTGTGGTACAGACTGTGATATAGACTGTGGTACAGACTGTTGTACAGACTGCGATATAGACTGTGATACAGACTGCGGTACAGACTGCGGTACAGACTGCGGTACAGACTGCGGTACAGACTGTGATATAGACTGTGATACAGACTGCGGTACAGACTGTGGTACAGACTGCGGTACAGACTGCGGTACAGACTGTGATATAGACTGTGATACAGACTGTGGTACAGACTGCGGTACAGACTGCGATACAGACTGTGGTACAGACTGTGATATAGACTGTGATACAGACTGTGATACAGACTGCGGTACAGACTGCGGTACAGACTGCGGTACAGACTTTGATACAGACTGTGGTACAGACTGCGGTACAGACTGTGGTACAGACTGTGGTACAGACTTTGATACAGACTGTGGTACAGACTGTGATACAGACTGCGATACAGACTGTGGTACAGACTGTGGTACAGACTGTGATACAGACTGTGATACAGACTGTGGTACAGACTGTGGTACAGACTGTGGTACAGACTGTGGTACAGACTGTGGTACAGACTGTGGTACAGACTGTGGTACAGACTGTGGTACAGACTGTGATACAGACTGTGATATAGACTGTGATACAGACTGTGGTACAGACTGTGTGCCCAAATGCCTACTGTCTATGGAGTTGGCAATGTTTACCTTAAATAGCATTTTTTGTATATCTCCTCATGAGATGAATTGTCTATTTTTATTCATTGTTTTGTAGTTTTTGGAAATTTATTTTAGACACTTCTAGATTGCACTGAATTTGGTTTGTTCTTTCAAAGAGAACAATAATTCACGTTCCTAAAATAAATGTGTGAAGGAGGGGGGAAATGAATGAATGGTGCTTTTATTGTAACATTGACTGATTACACAAATATTTGCAGTTCACATGTACAGTGCTGGTACTGAAAGTACGACAAGAAGAACAAGAATATGATGACAAAGACATGCACAGACACAGAGGAGTCACTCTGTCACGCACAGAGGCTGCCAATCACAGTTTATGGGTGACAAGCTTTGTTTGTAAGGAAGACATTAAAAAGAGGGCTCACAAATTCTAATATTCAGCACCAGAAAAAACAATAGATAATACTATATCATAATATATATTTGCACTAAATAACAATTTCATAAAGTTTTTTTTCCATAACACAAATATGTCCAGAAATAGATCATATACATTATACCATCGATCATAAACGCACTTGACAGTCCACGCTGTCCCGTCTTTACACAGCAATACTTTGAGTTGGAGGACTGGGGCGAGTGTGAAGATAAGTGTGACTGGGGTGACATGCACTGATATGTACAGCTGTAGATGCCTTGGACCACACTCCCTCCCACTGTAACTTGAGTACAGGACATGTTTATTTGAGGTCCCCAGCATCGCCCTGGATGGTCTTTTTGATTCGCAGCAGCATCGTGGTGAGCCACTGGTCCAGACGAGAGACAGAGTCAAACTCTTTTACGGCCTCTGTGAATGCTTCACTGTTCTGTTCCTCGTGAGCCTCCAGCAGTTTCTGTTACCAGAGAGAAGCAAATGTTTTAGTGAATATACACGGCCTTTCTGTACCAACAGCAGGTCAGTGAACTACTGTTTTTCCATGCTCTAGTGATGAAGAGATTAAAGTAAAAATGTGATACCTTTAAGAGTTTGAGCTCTCTGGAGTCTGAAAACGCTGGGAACATCTCCTCATACTTCTCTATTGCCAGCTGCAATCACAGGCACAGACGGTTTATCAGCTTTGATTTCTTCTCTCTCTTGTTAAATGTATGCTATTGAAGATTCCAGATTAGATTCATGTTTAAGATAATATTTCCGAGTCCAAGTTCTTATCAATTCCATAATTCACAAATGTATAGACAACAAATAGTTCCTTTTAAAGCCCCTGGGCCCTGGAGAAACTAAACTGAGGGTGCTTTTGTTACAGGTTTTCTGAAATTCTTTATGAAAGTATGACTTCTTTCACTCATTCAGATTAAAATTGTCTGTCACTTGTTGCTAATAGCTATCATACTTTTTTAAGGCAGATATATACATACTTTTGCATTGAGCTCATCCACAATGAAGTGACACAGAGACGCTTTGAAGAAGTACTCTTTGGCATTATACTTGAGCAGGGGGTTGTCCATAGTGCTCATGGCCACCTCAAACACAAAACAGTCAAAACAGTCACTAGATAGATTGCAAAGATAACTTATATACTATACACAGATGACAAAATTACTTGTTCGTAGATTTCAATGGCCTTCTGGTACTGCTCCAACTGGGCACTGTAGTGGCCCACCTTCAGCAGACACTTGTTGGCAGAGCTGTAATCAAAGGGCCACGTCTAAGGAGATGATACACCAAGTATCATCTAAAACATGAAATCTACCTGTTTACCTGTTGGATTCCTCTCCTTTGTAATAATCTGCTGCCTGCTCGTAATGGGCAATAGCCTGGAAACAAACACGTACGTTTAGATTGTCACTTTCGGAGGCTGAGGATGAAAGAAGAGTCAGTTACTTACTTTTTCGATATCAACCAGCTCAGATTCATAAACCTCTGCAATGGTGATGTGATGTTTGGCTGCGATAGTGAACCTCCCCTAGAGAATTAGAAATAGAATTATTTTATGGCTAAACTAGGGATGTGCTTTGATATGTGTTGCAAACAAATAATAAAATAGTCAAACATAGATATAATGGCATGCATGAAAAATCTTTCTAAAAGTCCAATATAGAAATACACACTATAGACATTTATCATTGCAGATTATTTAGTGTCCAGAGGTATGAGACAGTTGAGTGACAAAAGCGTAAATTGACGATTCAGAAGAGCCGCGATGATGAGTTATGACACGTTCATGAGTCCAACTGTGGTGGGGAAAAAACTGATCTTATGGCCGGAGGTTCAGGTCGTGATGGACCACTGTCTGCTGTCTGAGGGGAGTGACTGGAACAGTCCATGTTCAGGTGAGAGGGGTCGGCAGTGATCTGATTTGTCCCCGGGTTCAGGCAACGTACAAGGCAAATTAAGAATTCAAGAAAATGACTTTCAAACATATAAGCTAAATATACTATGAAATGTAAGGAATAGAGAACAGACACACACAGTCAAACACAGGAGCTCGTGTTAAAACAAAGGTAGATGAGCGTGTATACCATGTCTGTGTAGATGTCAATGGCCTGGTTGAGACAGTTGATAGCCTCTGCAAAAATACATAGCAGAGTTTTGTCAGGAATCACAATAAGCTTAAGGGTAGGAAGACATAGATGCGCATATATTTACTACATCACTATCAGTAATAACTTCTTTTTATGGAGCGTTTTAAAGGGACTGTAAATGTTATACTTTGATCTGTTTCTGTTTGAAGTCCAGAAGGCAAAGACATCAGCAGCTACTCAGTTCCATCCCTGCAGTGCTCTGTCAGGCCTCTGTTGTGAGGGTGTTCAGTCCTTGCTTGCTCATGGGGAATTTCTCCCTTTAGTTCAGTATTCAGCAATTGGATTCAGATAATGCAACTGGCCACTGGCAAAGATTCTAAATATTTGCATTATTAAAAACTCCTTGGGAGCTTTTGTAATGGGCTTTGGGTTATTGCCCATCTGCCCAGTCAGTGGAGCACCATCTATTCAATACTTCTAAAATAATTTAGGCAGATGATTTTGCCTGAAACTCAGTTCATCTTGTTGCGTTGGCCAGATGTCAAATCATTAAGAAATAAACCAGTTCCTTTGTCCATGGCAGGACATGGACAAAGCTCTGTTCAGGTTTTGGATCACGAGCAGTTTCTCTCTCTTCTTCGTACTGTTCTCTTCCCTAATCCTCCCCCTGTTGTATTTGGACTTTCATTTGATTGGATGTATAGTAAATATGATTATGTGAAATCTGAAAGTCTGTATTACCAGTCCATCTCATGCTCAAACAGCTACTCTCTAGAATTGGCCTCTCACGCAAAATGCTACACTCAGACTTCCTTGATACCTGACTGGGGTCTGCTTAGGGCCAGTGTCCGAGTGCTCACCCTGCGGGTCAGCCTTCTTGTAAGCGTTTCCTGCATCCACAAAGCTGGTGGCAGAGTCCAGTTTGTTCTGCAGCTGCATGTGTAGTCGTGCCGCTTGGCAGAAGGCATTCCCAGCCGCTGGAGCCATGGAACACACAAACAAACACACACACAAGGCACAAGGTCATGACAACAGTTTGGACCTGATGGTGGAGGTTTGTGATGTGTGCACCCACCACTCCAGTTCTTGGCCATCTTGAACATGTTGGCAGCTCTAGCGTAAATCTCACATGCATCCTCCACTTTGTGATTCCCCCTGCAACACACAGTCCTCATCACCAGAAGTCTCACTGCAGTTATCTGGGTCTAAGGGTATTTTTGCAAGGCCTCCTGTGAGACACTGAACTAGTTTAGTCAACCTGCTTTGTAGGCAACAGCGTGTGTTTACATTTTTCCACTAGATTAACTTCTGTGGGTAGGGTCTGGACTCTAGTTCCACTGAAGGCTATAATAATAGTTTTTTGTTTTTTTGGTGGGAAAAAAACGATGTGACGTTTCCTTCATTTACAGAGCTGTAGTAAGATGATGAACCAACCCAAACACATAAACGCCCATTCCCCTCTCATTCTGACATAGATGCCTAACGCCTGTGCGTATAGAGACCGAACCAAACATCCGCAGACGGAGCCCAGGGCTGTATGACAGAGGCCTGTCCCTGATCACTCCGCACGTCTCTGCTGTGTCCCGCACACATCCACCCTCCACGACATGTTTTAATGGACAGTGCGTGACGATGGGCTCCAGAGCCTGTCCTGCGCTGCACCGCGGAATCTGTTACGCGGTGCAGTAAAACAACGAGGCCTGGGAAGGACAGAATGTCACGTTGCTTGCGTGTGTTTGGGCCCATCTGCGCTTGTCATTTGGGAAGAACATAGTCTTAAGCGTGTCTAGCAGCTTACACAACAGGCACATACAGAATAACACTCGCGTCCGTCACCAAATGACAGAACACAGGGGCCCAGTCCCTCCCCCACCAGCCGCATCAACTGAGCCTTTACCCGAACATCCCAGCGAGGAACGAGCCGGACGCCTTCACCTTCTTGTCGGCCTCAGCCATCAGCTGCATGGCCTCCTTCTCTTTACCAGAGTTATCCATTGCGCTGTTTGACAGAGTCGGAGCAGAGAGCGAGAGCAGCGGGCAGCAGAAGGACGTGTTCGTCACTGGTGCTGATGCTGAGGCACTGCTACTGATGCTGAGGATGCAGGTCCTGTGCCGCCCTCTCGTGGCTGATTCACTTATCACACTTAGCAGTTTTAAGCTTTATTCGTGTCATTGTAAAAGATGTATAATTCAGAAAAGTCTTGTACTATTGCATTAATATTTAAAGTACCCATCGTAGCCATACTGTTTTACAATGTAACACACTCAAAAACAAAATGTTTATTCTCTACCAAATCTTGTGACAGGAAAAAAAGTTCATGAATTAAATATGTATTCAACGGAGATGAGCAAGTCTGTGAACTGTTGTTAAAAAGTTCACACCAGAACTGTAGATGGCATGCAAACACCCATGAGTAAATTATTTGTTGTTTATAGAAAAAAAAGTTCTTTCGCACAGTTGTGTATACCTGCAAAACAGTACTAATGCACATTTAATGGCAATGACAGATAAAAGAGTGTTGACCCAGACTCCATTATTAATAACATGTTTATTATCATCATTTCAGCAGTTCATGAAAACAATGATTGAAATACAGATCAGCGCAAAGGGATGGAGCACACACCTTAAGAATCTGTTAGCACACGCATTCCGGGTTCCTTCAAGTAAACATGAAACTATAAATCCACCACAAGTTCTCTAATCAACCCAACTCTGAAAATAATAAATCAGAAACCTAAACCCATCTCCTCAAACTAACATGAATGAATTATTGTCCATGCGCTGTATATGTTCTTTTACAAAAATGTCTTTCATAAAACACTATAATCATGCATCGTTTGAAGTGATCTGAAACTGTAGTCACAGTTTAGAATGAATCATGTCCATCCTCAGTCTTCTTCCGACAGAGCAGCAGGTGGTCTGGACTTGCTGCGACCTCTGACCTCTGACATCTGGTCTGACAGGTACTTCTGGATCTCTCCCGGTAAGCAGCAAAACTTCTCCTGGAACTCTGCCTCCACCGCCCCCTGCAGCTAGAGTCATAGTTTGAAAAATGTCATCCTTCCTCATCTAAAAAGTTAAAATAGCAACATAATCTTAAATAAAACAGCAGCACAGACATTTTTGGGGGTGTGGCTGTGCTGTGCTGTCAAAAGCAAAAAAATTGACTTTTCAAACTGAACGGCAATGCTCAAAATATATCTGAGGAAGGCCATTGGCCAATAAGACACTTTAGACAAATATGAGCTTTTTGCTCTTTTCTGAGTTTGCATTGCACGTGTTACTGCATCCTCTGCTGGTTCAGATACTGTGACTGCAAGACTAACGCAAATCCATTAGATAGAAGATTGCAGATAGATATGGATCCATCCCATAGACTATACTATAGATGGATGATTCTAACCCTCATGATGAAGCCCAATAGGGAAGTATTAAATGTAAAAAGTTCATTTTGTCTTCTTATGTTTAAGTACTAGCTTTCTTTACTTTCTTGTCTCATTAAAAGAACCTTTAAAGCCCAATAGGGAAGTGCTCATGGACAACCATTTGTGTCATTATTTAGACTCAAAAAAATCTGTGGTTCCGCTCTCAATGATCCTGGTGTTATTGTCTCTCATATGAGCCATATAAGGATTGTCCAATCAGATGCCTTCATTTGCAGGGAAGCTCTAGTATCCCTTAGCAACCGTCTTAGAAACCCCTGCCGGCGCAATCTAAACAAATGCACATATAAGGACATTAGTTCCAGCTGGCTTATGTTAAAATTAGCTTCTTCCATAGCCTGGCCTTAGCCATCTGTACACTCCGTTCAATCATCATTTCACTGTCATTTGTACTATGGTGTGGTACGAGCAGGCTACTTCTTCCACATTCAGCAAACACTATGGTGACGTCAGCACTCGGTCAGTCCACTCATACACGGTCTATGATCACCTGTGATAACACCAGCACCACTCAGCACCAGTTTGAATGAATATGTAAGAGGCAGAGTGGGGCCAAGTGTGACTGATGCGTGTAGAGTAGAGTCAGGAAAGTGCAGTTGAAAAGGCCCACTAATGATATGTGGGCGAGCGTACTTTGGGTGTCATGTCCTGGATTTGTTGCAGTAGTTCTCTGTGGTGCTCCTGCAGCTGCTCGGCACGCTTCATCTGAGCCTCCTCCAGCTGTAACAAGCGCACAGCACCATCAGCGCACTCGCCTATTTCAGATCACATGTCTGTGTCTCACCCGTTTGATGTTCTGGACCACCTCGTTCACGTAGGACTTGTTGATTTCAATCTTTTCCCTAAAGAGACACAGAGAGATTTTATTTCCTCACTTTTGGAGGCTGTGGTGAGATGTTGCCAGAGTGAATGTGATGAGTGGAGAGAGAGCATGGCCGCTGACAGAATAGAAAGGCCATACTCCAGTGCAAGGTGTTTCTCTTTGGTTTTGGCCTGGTTGATCTTCTCAGTTCTCCTTCGATCCATTAATCGCTTCAGCTCTTTTTTCTCCCTAAATGCAAAGCAATACATTATTATCACATGGAGTGATTTGGTGATGGGGTGGTGCATGAGCAAAGATCCAAATAAATAGTTTAATTGCTTAACATAACACAATATTGTTCAATGCTCCTAGGTTTTAAAGAGCCACAGGATCCTTACTTGTCCTGGATATCCCCAAGTCTTTTCATCTGGACACAGTGACCCTCCTCCGCCAACCTGCTCAGCCGCTCTGTCAGCTGTCCACAACAACAGACATACTCAGGCTGTGTGTTTGAGCTCTGGAACTCTGGGAAAAGCTTTAGAGAAGTCCTACCGCTCGAATGTGCTCTCGCTGGAGGTACTTCTGGCTGTAGTACTGCTCCTGTCTCAGTGACAGGAGCTGCTGCTGCTGTTCCTCTCTCGCCTGCAGGAGGCGCATTTCCCGCTCACTTTCCTCAGCTCTGGTAGACAAAATAATCACGCTTCAACTAAAGCATATTCTAATAATCACAAATGGATACAATATGTATGTTTATTTTTTTAGCACAGTTTACACACAAGGCAACCCAAAGTGCTCTATGTATGTAAGATTTTAAGTGCATTTATAGCAAATTTAATCTGTGATTAATTCTGATCAAAATGTTTAACAACTGACATGATGGCAACATTATTTATGTAAAAATACCTATCAGAAAGCAGAATTATCCTCACATGAGTCTTATTTGGGTTGCCAGTTTCTGAAGTTTCTACAATGAAGTCCTTTTAATCACCGCCTACTCTCCAGCAGTTGGAGTACGCCCATAATCAGAGCTGAGGAAGTTTCACTGGCAACCGAGGATTAGATTAATGTATAAAACTAGAGAGCAATAAAAGCACACCATTACTAATATGAGACAAAAAGAGACAATGGTTGGACACCTGTGAAGCTGACGGGTCATCCTCTTGTATTTGTTGTTTAACTCTTGGTATAGTTTTCTTGTTTTTCTTTGATGCTTTCTCAAAAGCTCTTTCAGCTCTTTACTCTGTTGCCGCTGATCTTTCAGGTACAGCTTGGACTGCAGGAAACTTTCCATAGAAGACAATGGGAATTCTACAGAGGACACAACATTATTAGGAATACATATTGAAAATGTAATAAACTAATTTATACTTTTTGAAGGACTCTATGAGCAGGACACAATAAATGATCACAAGAGTAGTCCTCACCAACTAAAACAGTAGCAACAAGATCCTCAGCCTTAGACGAGGGTTTGACTGTCTCTAAACACCAAAAATAGAGACCAAAAGTTATTTCAGTCCAATTACAGCTGGCCATCCTGACTGTTTGTGGTCACCTGCTGTAGCTGCCTGCTGATTGGCTGCTGAAGCTTTGGGAGTGGTGGCCAATGGCAGTGGGCTCAGGCTCAGGCCATTTTCTGCTGCAGGTGTTCGGAGATCAGTCTTTGTCTCTGCACAGGCGTCTGCATCCTTCTGCTGCAGAGTCAAACTAATGTCACAGATCTGACTGCACATACTCCATGACCTTTTCCACATCACAAGTCACAATCACATACATTATATATTTATTTTCCAATTCTTTTTGTGAAGTGATAGTAAAATGATACATGTCAATGCTTCAATGTCAATGTACTGTGGTCCAAAGCAGAAAAAGAGATTTATGATAGAAACGTTATCATAAATGAAAAAGAGGACTGTGCTCTTTCACAGTGACGACACCTCGGAGTGTGTGTCCTCCTCCGGCTCCTCCAGCGTCAGAGCGGCCAGCTGCTTGGACCTCTGCTCCAGAAGGTTCACATAGCGGATGGGATTAGACAAGGCCTCAATCACATCTAAACAAGAACATAACAGAATGGCAACAATTATATAGCGTTCCACAAATTAAAACATTGATGAATGCAGACCAAAAGAGTGTTCATCTATAGTGTGTGAGCTGTGAGGACACCTTCATCATAGTCTCTGGAGAAGTGAATGATGATAAAGCATTGGTTTCATCCAGTGCTTTTTGGACACTCTTGCACAAGGGTGATAAACTACTGTAGCTGCCCTGGGACAGACTGACAGAAGCGAGGCAACCAGTATGTGTCTTCGGCCCCTCCACCCACCCCCAAGCATTCCCACACTCACCAGACGCGTACTAATCAATGAGGGTGAAGTGTCTTGCCAAAGGATCCAACGGCAGTTTGGCAATTTACAGCCGCAGCCGCCCCACTGTAGCCCCTGGTGTTCCCAAAGGTCTCCCATCACAGTACTAAAACCAGGCCCTCCCCTGCTTAGCTTCAGAGTTGACGCCACATATGTAAAGTTGTGTGAAGATTACAGCTGAAGAAATTTCATAGTAAAAAAAAGTGGCACGGATCAAGAAACGTGAACATTTTGTACCTGCAAAAGTGTCTGGGACATAATCTTTGACCTCCATAAAGACAAAGATGGCAGGCAGAACGAGGGGCTGATGTTTTTCATTCCTGAGGCTGATGTACCGATAGCCTGAGGGAAAGAAAGATGAGGCCATAACAAACATATAAATATCAAAAACAAAGGGCAGAGTGAAAAGTACGGTACTAGAGGCAAAGAGGTTAGTTCTTAATTCAAATCCAATCCACTTCATTCATTGAACATGTTGTAAAGTGCAAGTCTGCCATTTAAATAATCAATGCCAGTTCCCCTTGTGCCTGCGTAGGTTTCCTCCGGGTGCTCCGGTTTCCCAAAAACATGTGCAACTAGAATGAATGTGAGTAAACAATCTGTGATGGACGGAGGGTCTGGTTCTATCATCACCGTGTGGAGTGAATGGATATTACACCAAAATTGCGTTGTGTGACCTTGACAGGAAATAAGCTACAAATCACTTACGTACTGATATGTTTTAACTTTATGCCAATAGAGGCCTAATAGTACGTACTGTAGAAATAAAAGTTCGACATAAAATACAAGCTGTTTTTATTTAATTTCAAATCAGGATTTTACGTTACCTGGTCTTATTGCAGACACTGGAATAATCCGGTGACCAATAAACTTCCCGCCTTCTTCAAAAACAGCAACTCTCAGAGAAGCCAGAGTGGGCAGAATGACCTAAAGGCGACCCACACTGCTGTAAGACGACGTACAAACATACACTAGGCTACAATAGGTCCAATCTTCCATCTTGGTAGGTTTGTATATTAGGAGTGGACTGACCGAGTGCTGACTTCACCACAGTGTTTGCCAAACGTGGAAGAAGCTGATTTGAGGATAAACTAGCTGGAGCCAATCTCCTCATATGGTCATACAGTATGTTCCGAAGGTGTTAGCCTTGTGTTGCTAACATAGTCAAAAGAGGTTAATTTGGTATTGTGATAGATTCTATTGGTCAATTGTAGAATTAACTTCAGGGATGAGGAGCACACAACACAAGATAAGTGAATATTAAGTAAAGCACAACTCTATACATTAAAACACAAAATCTCAATCTTTGGTAAATAGAGAAGCAAGGTATAAAATAATGTAACGTCTAATCGGGCAGGATAGTATTTGTATGCATACATCCGTAGAATATAGGGGTCTCTAAGGCAAACTGGAGTTTCCCCCTTAAATAAAGGCCTCTGATTGGTCAATATTTACAGCTCATAACTGAATTCACAGTACAAGGATAATATCATACATAAACACATAAACCATTATCAAGCCTAAAGCGGAGTGTGAGAATGGTTACTGAGCTAGAGCTGTTTACTTTTCAATGTAAGTGAGTAGGACCTAAACCTAAATCAAAACTTTGCCCATGAACACTTTCCTTTTGGGATTATTGAGCTAGGGCAGTGTCTCCCAAAGTGGGGTCCGCGGCCCCCTGGTGGGCCGCGAGGGTACTGCAGGGGGGCCGCGGGAGGTCATAAAAAAAAAAATATATATATATATATAATTATTTAATGTTAAATTTATAATGTTTTGTTTGTAATATTAAAATATTTGTGTTCATTATTTGACTTGAATAATCCACTGTAATCATTTTTGTATTACAATGTTTGTAGCAGAGGCTATTTCCCCAAAATAAAATAACCAGAAGAGCCTATTCTTAATGTTGTCTTCTTGGTTATTATTTTGGGGGGGCCACGCAGACCCGTCAGATTTTTAAGGGGGCCTCGGTGTTACTGAGTTTGGGAATGGCTGAGCTAGGGGGTTAGCAGTGTCCATCTACATACAGTCTATGGTCTGCTCTTGTCAGGTTTCTTCAGTAAACAACAAACCGTGAAAAGCGTTCTCACCTTTTTGAAGATGATAGGCTCTTCGTCCCACACTGGGTTGATGGCATTGTTGTTGGGAGAAGTTTTAGTCCTGAGTGCCTTTCTCCGAGTGTCTGCTGGCAGTCCGAACATGTCCACCTCCACATACACACCCACTCGCTTCTCGCTCAAGAACTGACCAGAGATGACCTGCACTTCACAAAACGTGCACATTAAAAGCCTTCAAAACCACGCCAGACCACCTGTGCCCACCTTAACAGACAGCGTGTTTGCCACAATGCCATCCACAGTATTCTCAGTGAACGGGTCAAAATGTTTATCAGGCCGACGCATGAACTCTGGCTTCAGTCTGTAACCGCTTCGACCGTTATACTCAAACATAAAGAGGTTAAGCTGCATGGAGAGATCTGCAAAACACACAGCACATAAATCAGGCACATAATACAGTCCCTGTCCTTTTTAAACATGTACAAAGCAGGGAATTATAACTATATTCTGCTTGTGTGATGCTATATTGAATTACGTCCCATTTGATATCTAGACACCGGCCAACTGCTCAAAAACCGGTATAAACTCATACTGTAAAAAAGACCGATGTGAGCAAGGTCAATACCGGCAACATAAAACAATACTGGATTTGATTAATATAATTTATACATACAAGTAAGTAAGTAAGTACTGGAGGTCTGGAGGTGGAATCAAACCCAGGACCTTCTGGCTGTGAGGCACGGCACCACTGAGCAGCTGCTAATACCATCTCAAAGTGAAAATGGTCTTAAGATTACAAAAGTCTTGTAAGAGTTGTAAATGTATGCTTTGTGAGGCTTAAAGCTGTGATAAACCACACAGGTTTTCTATCCTAGCATAGAGCATAAAGTAAAATGTTGTTAATAAATTAGACCACACCATGCCATCTTATTAGAATTTTTCGTATCTTTTGGAAATGTTAATTGTAAGAAAGTGAGTCACTTTTTGACGCTTTAAGCTGAGTGAGGGTGGATGTGAAAACTAGAAATTAAATCAAACCGTTTTAGAGCTAGTCTTAGTTAAATTCTATGAGTTCTATTTTGAGTGTTACGTTCTCCAGCTTTAATAAATTGTACCTATAGTTTGATAGTTGAGAGCCACCAGCTGACACCCAGCATTCCAAAAGAGCTGAGGCATGAAGTTGGACGAATCAACCCTGGTTCCTTTGGGGTAAATGCGACTCAGTTGGGCTTTATTGTATCTGACACATTGTTAAGGAGAAAGTTTGCATGCGGAAAACAGACAGGAAAATACACTGTCACATCAAGATGGATGGATGGATACTCAACAAACTCCACAGGGGATTTTGTGAGATGCTCCAAAGCTTTGGTCTCTACGAAAGATGACATGTGGTAGGAGCGGGCTGCCTCTGCATGAAAACAAATATTACGTCACACATCAGTCTTCTGTAGGTGAAGCCTGTTATGAAGTGAGTTATCTGGATATCTTAATTATTTTACAAACGAACATTACATCAACAAAAATGTGAAGGGACACATGATTTTAAGGGATACAACAGATAACTGAACTGTTGCACACACACACACACACACACACGCACGCACGCACGCACGCACGCACGCACGCACGCACGCACGCACGCACACACACACACACACACACACACACACACACACACACACACACACACACACACACACACACACACACACACACACACACACACACACACACACACACACAACACACACACACACACACACACACACACACACACACACACACACACACACACACACACACACACACACACACCACACACACACACACACACAGATAATAAGTCATATACTGAATAAATAATGGTAAGTTTTAACCTATGATAGATAATGAGAGTAACAGACAAGGATGAATTGCAGTTATATTCAAAAAAATGGTCCAGTGATAAAGGCATCCACATTTATCTGGATATCTAATGTAGTGACTTTTTGTAGCTGAATTACGTATTCATTCCACAAACCCATGACATTTTCAACTCAAGAAGGATATGCTGGAGCTGATGAAGGAACAGTTTCTTACCTCTGGATGTTTCAAAGGAGTTGAATTTAATGGGCTGCACATAGTTGACAAGGGTGGACATTTCCTCTGCAGCCACTGCCTCTCGCTCCGCTGAGCCCTGCCCAACAAATGCCCAAGAATCAGCACCACAATTATAAATTCATGTCGGCCAGAGAATGAGCACAAACAAGCAAAGGCTTGTGTGAATGTTTGTGGTGCTGTCACTGTGTCACTAGTCTCACCTTTTTACCTTCATCATCGTCATCATCATCATCCTCCTCACTCTCAGCCTCCATATCTGTCAAATAAAAGAGTGACACTGTAAAGATGGACCTAATAACAAGGTTGTTGAAAGCACAAAGAGAAATGGACCATATGCTTTTGGATTGACCTCGTGAGCCAGAACTTTGTTGAAATTTTATAAACATAATGAAAACACTTGAGTTTCACCTCCAGTATTGTTGCTAAGTGACAGCGACTCATTCGGATTGGCTGACTGCTCTGTCGATCTCTTGGTATCACCACTGGATGAGGAGGATCTATGGGACTTTTTGTTCTTGATGAGAATTTTGCCCATCAGCTCTTGTGGGCTGGGCAGAGGGACACCAGACTGGAGCTGTATACAACCATGGAAGCACACAGACACACACACACGCGCACGTACATACACACACGCTAGGTTTTGAGCCTTTTTAAGCTAAACAACCTGACTGAACTAACATTTTATATATATATATATATATATATATATATATATATATATATATATATATATATATGTGTTATCTTACTGGATACTTTTCCAGAGGATCAGTCAATAGTGCGTCTCCAAAGATGGAACGACAGTGTTCGGCCATCTTGGCTTGTTGTTTGAGCCTGAAGAAGGTGAAAAATAGAAAAAAGTTCCACAGTGAAGCCGACAAATTTCTGATTCACAATGTTCTTTTTTTAAATAAAACAGTTCAACAGAGTGCAGACATATTGAAGTTGCAAATACTCACGAGTCTACATGGTTTTCAAAAGACAAAATGACTGGGAAGGATGAAGTCTTGAATGCGCATTCTGCAATTGCTTCAATCACTTCCTGGAATAAGCAACAAGTTTAGATAGCTCTTTTTTATAGGACAGAACCCAGTGCAAACTCAGACGCATTGAACATGTCTAGTAATCTTAGTAAACACAAGGGATTATTCTGCGTCACTAATTAATAACAATTTATCATCTGGGAGCAATAAAAAACACAATAGGTTAAACATAAAAGCAGCAATAGATGAACAATAAACAATGAGGTCGAGAAGAGGAAAGGAGTACCTGGGCAAAAATATCGAGATTTATTTTTGCCCATATTGCCTACCTAGTAGTAGTTACTAGGGGTAGGCGATATGGGCAAAAATAAATCTCGATATTTTTTTCCCAAGTCTCGATAACAATATTGTCACGATATCTGTGTAGTGTAGATCAAAATAGCAGTTTTTTATTTGTAAAGTGCTTCACACATCTTTGCAAAACATGCACAAACGTAATGTGCATTAAACATTAAAAATATTAACATTAAACATCACATTCAAGTAACACAGGAAGAACACATCCAAAAAGGCTTTCTCAATATTGAAATACTGAAATGTACAAATAAAGCAGTGATTGGCTTTTAGGCACGCATTTGACGAAATGGCATCTTGCCTGCTCTAATGGTAATATGTAAAGGAGATGTGTTAAAACATATTTAACTTTTTTTATTTTTATTAACGATAATGCGAAAAAGCATATCTTCAAATTCACAATATATATTGCCCACCCCTAGTTGGGTGTCATATGGAGAAGTTGGGTATTGTTTTTTGGACAATAAAATCGAAAAAGCATATCTTCAAATTCACTTTCGTGATATTATCGTCTACAATACAGTATATTGTAACAAATATCTCAAAAGCATTGGTAAAGACACAGACGGGAGTCATATAATAAAACATTTATTAACCTTGCTTGCCGCGGTCTGATATTTCTCCATACAGACCTCGCGCTCGGTTAATAAGCCGTTAATATCGCCCACCCCAAGTAGTTACCTTGAATGATATTTCTGACGTCATGGTGAAGCCATGTGTGATGACCGGCTCTTCCTCTGCAGTGCGTCCTTTCCACACGTCCAGCTCCACACATCGACAGCCGGCCAGCAGCACCTGGCGGTACATCTCCACCGATGAGCTGCCTGCCAACTGACCAGCTGTGACAAACCAACCACCACCATGAGTGACCACTGCCACACCCACCAACAAACAGACAGAAAGATCCACTACTAACACACCAATAAACGTGCAGGACACGAGCTGCTGCCGCAGCCACAGGGCACTACAGAACAATCCTCTGCACACTCATGCAGGTGTCCTGGGGCCACACCTGTCAGGTACGTGTTGTGGGAGGAGTTGATGAAGTAGTGCGACAGAGGGAAGCTCATGTCTTCAGACTGGTCCAGTTTTTCAGGAGGGATGACACCGTTTTCGTCACTGGCGAGGTAAGCGCTGAAAGCCTGCAGAGTCACCAGGCCTGTGGGAGCATGTTCCGAATCAGTAGGATTAAACCATTTCAGTGTACACCCATTGACAGAACCATAAGTTCAGCTGTACCTTCCTGCAGCAGGTGAGGTTGGTGCTGGTAGCGCTCCAGAAGAGAGCGAGTGTGTGACGGGCGAAGAGGTGGGTACAGGATTTCATTAAGCCGCGGGTCTCGCTGCGTACAATTAATGAAATCTGTCATTTGGTCCAGGGCCATTGTACCGTTGGTGCCTCCTCTGCAACAAGACCAGAGCCCATGAACATAAGAATACTGCAACAATCCTGATTTCTATGTGTAACTTCACAACTATATTTAAAAAAAAAAACATGACTCACTGCTGTTTGAAAATGTGCACAAGTTCTGGTCTGGGACATAAACTTTCCAGGAAGCTGCGGTACACATCCAGAGTGAAGTCCTCCAGTCTGATGCTGTCCCCCTGTGCACAGGAAGAAGGCTGTGAGTGTCATGACGGACATAACCATGTGTGTGCCTGGCTGCTTACACGGCCATAAGGCAGTTTGCAGCTCTCCAGGGCACTCTCCACTCTTTTGCGATCAGAAGAAAATAGACGAACAATGCTGCAACATAAATCATAGAAATAGGACATTGAAACAAGCATTGCAGGAAAATACATGTTTAATGTCTACTCAATAATGCTGATGATTAATATTTTTATGTTCATTTTGTAATTAAAAACAAACAATCACTGGTCTACTATTTATACTAAACAAATCATCAGAAATGAATAGTCAGAAAAATATACATACTTTTTAACTGGTATCCTTTCCTCTGCATTGGGCAGCAGAGTCAGTCTAACATACCTGTAATCATGAAAGGGTAGGAGGATATTCATACCACCACAAAAGGTTGCTAACGGGTCACTTATGCAAGAATATAATCATAAGTATATGTCACTCACGCCTTCAGTAAACTCTGTTCTCGATTCAAATTGAGACTGAGCAGATTGGAGCACAGGTCAAACAGCTCCTCACTCCACACCTGAAACACGGCACACACTATGATACAAGCCACCGCCCACAGCCCACACGCCCCAGTGAAAGCCTATGCACCTTGGCCTCTTCCTCCTGCGACGCGATGAAGATGAGCTGGCTGACGTTGACCAGGTCAGAGGCTGTAACCACTGTAAGCAAACGGTTCTCCAAGCGCCCCACCAGGTTCCCTGCATCCAGAAGCTCACGCAGCTTGGCCTCCTAATATCAAAGACTCATTACAACACCACAACATTTTGTGTTCTGTAGACATGGACTTGCAGATTTGTAGATTTGAGAAGCTGGATGTTGAAGTGAAGTGCGGTACCTTTGCGGTCTTGGTGCTTCGACCTGTTCGGATGTCTTTGACCAGAGTCAGGTCCAGGAGCTCAGTGTCCTGATCAACACATTAGTCCGTCAGAAAATATACTTTGTTAAATTTCTCCATTGTCAGATCAATAAAGTTTACCTTATCTTATCTCTATAGAAGGACCTGATTTGTCATAATGCTGACACTAAACAAGCGGGAGAAATTCATCCCATTTGCTATTATTCCAACAGATCTATATTATAGCCCACTGTGGGACACAAAGGTTTTCTTACATTTTCTGATTTACATTTTTTTTATTATACGGTATACTAAAAAGGCTGTCAGAAATAGAACTAAGGAATGGACTAAGTGTCAAATGAGCTGCACCTTGTTCTGGTCTGTCCAGTGGAGATAAAATCCATATTGATCCACACGCAGCATCACTGGAGTCACTGTGGACAGGTCCTACAGACAAATCATTGACATTTAGTTTCAGTTTATTTCTAGCTTATTTATTTTTTGAATTAGGAAGCAGTAACTGCATATTTATCAGTGTGTGGGCAAAGAGCTTCAACATAATTACGCTGGATGTAGATAAAGTTAAAGCTAAAGTTTATCCATTGTCCAGGCAGGAGGAAAAAAATAAACATTAATCACACAAGTAGACAACATACTAGTGACATGTGACGCAATGGACAAACCACACGAGTTCCCACAGAAAACTTAAAAATAATAAGAGTTTTAAAAAGAGTCCAAGGAAATACATGCATTCTTCTATGGAGCTTGACTGCTCTGATTTGTGGCAACTTTTAAGGACCCCTTTAAAGGGTTGGTATTTTCCACAGTTTCTTATGTGCTCAGGCAGACAGCGCCACCATCTGGAAGGATTCCGTCCTTGGTTCTTGCTCTAGTCAGATACTTTGGTCAAAAAAGGCCATGTAGTATTAAATATTTAACAATGTTCGACATTTTCTTAACATGGCCTTTGAAGTTTGAATAACATATTTTTATTGCTTTATTTGGCCAGCCAAACTGTATCAAGAACATTACTGCGTTAAATAGAATATCTATGAGGTCGATGTGGTCAAAAGAGAACACAACAGCTGTACAAACAAATTAGTCAGAGGGAAAATTAAACTTTCGGTGTATCGCAAATGCCATAAGTACAATGACGGTTTTATGTGTATGTGATATATGGAATATTGCTTCTACATTTCTCTAAAAAAGAGAAAACCCTTCTTTCTTAGATCTATACTGTAACTGATTATATATACGGTGGCTGAGTGGATAGCACTCTCGCCTCTCAGCAAGAAGGTCCTGGGTTCGAATCCCGGTCGGACCAGGGCCTTTCTGAGTGGAGTTTGCATGTTCTCCCCGTGTCTGCGTAGGTTTCCTCCGGGTACTCCGGTTTCCCCTACCACTAAAAATATGTCCAATAGGCATATCTGGCATGCGCCTCCTGTACTGGCGACCCAGCTCCATCTGTGTGTGGAGTGAGAGATAAATGCCCATAATTAGCAATTGTAAACCGCTTTGAGACTCAGATCTGCAGTGAAAAGGCGGTATATAAATAAAGATTACTACTACTACTAAATATATAGATACGTTGACATACTGTACTCATCCTGACAAGGAAATCAGAGCGTGGAAATACGAATTGAAGGGTTGTGTGATGCTGCAGAAGAACAGGTACACACAGACACACCAGCTCCACATAACATCACCTCATCAGCACATTACCTCGTCCCATTTGATGAAGTTGCTGCCGCTCCTCAGAGTGTGAGAGACTTCAGGGAGCTGCAGTCTGAGAGCGTGGACTCCGGGCTGAGCGCTCGCCATGGTGTTAACCACTCCGTGAGTCCACCTGCCCCTCCGTAAATGCACAGTAGATGTTCCTTAATCAGTCAGTGATCACAGGGTGCAGCGATCAGAGGTGATGCACTTCTCACTCTCACATCTGCGCCTCTGCTGCTGCGCTCCCTCCTGCTCCTGCGCTCATCCTCTGTGCCATGCGCAGTTCGCGGCTCACGGTCATACGAGTTCACTTTAATGTATTTCTACAACTGCTAAAGACCTCCCACTCACTTCCTCCTTTATCTTATACCTTTAGTTCAAATAATAATGCTATTAAGAACAATATAAAATGAATAATACTAATAATAATAATAAGCAGTGATGAACGGCCCTCGTCTTTGCCAAACCACGCCAGCGTAGAAGAGGGGGCGCTGTCACAGCTCAAGTTCAGCTGGAGATCAGCTCAACGAATGCCAATCAAACGTGAGAACACTCACTGACCACAGCATGGCCCCGTCTCCTCATTGAAAAAGTCAACCCCAGGCTATAGCACATAATATATTAACAATGTCTCAAGTCACGTATACGCAGCAACGAGGTTCTATGAATTTCTACTGCAACTAGCACTGAAATGTATGATTGTATCGGAGCAATCAAGAGAGGATGTCAATAATTCCAAATTATTCTCTGGTAATGATGAAAAAAGGCTTCTGTAAGGGCTTCTATTAGTACCCCAAAACAATCCATAATGAAATTACGCATTTCATTTATAGGAGTGGACCCCCATCTTCACTCTGACAATCCAAGCATTTGCAATAAATTACCTTATAGTGTTAGTCAATTAATAGTAGCAATTATTAAAAACAATTTATTTGTCATCAATATTCTCATTTATTAAAACATTATTATACTGTTACATTTGGAAGTATGTTTTCCTGAAGGCAGAGCAGGTTAATATAGGCTTATCTGATAAAGAAAATTAAGTGTAGGCCAACTACATTTCTGTGTCCAGTTTAAAATGATCCAAGAGGGTATTTTAGATTCCAAACATAACCTCCTGACGATCTGCACGAGGCCTACGCCTTTAGAACCACCTCTTCCTCCTCCACATAAAAAAACCCATATGGGAAACCAGCTCAACATCTGAAGGCGGAAAGTGCATGATAGAATATGGTTATCCCTTCAGGAGGAGGTTGTTTAAAAGTTTCGTATTATGAAACATGCTCACAGCAGTCCAGTACTTGGCTCGGCACATCTCCTGAGCTCTTGAAATAGCTCAGCCTCCCACTCGTCCTTATATAAGCTCCAACTCAGCGAGGGGCTATAAGGAGTGATGTGGGAGCTGCACATGCTCTTGTGTGGGCAGCATCTTCTTGCACATCTTTAGTGTAATCTAAGAGCAATAATTAATGCAGTGTGTAACAACTCTATCGTCATTATGTTTCACACTGGGCATTGATGCGCTTTGTTTGTCAATTCTGAAACCAAACAACAAACAAAGCTAGAATCCAAATATAGGTTTAATTGAGAGGACGTGCAAATAGACACTATCTGTATGTTTTTGAGAACAATAACACTTTCATAGCATTGCATCCTTTTATTGAGCTGGACATGGTTAAAAAGGTGGAATCATTATTTACACTGCAACACAAGATACAAAAGAGATTTACAAAGTTGGCATCACTGCATCACTTTCCCTCCATTCACTTCTTTTATTGCATCTTTATCCTGAAAATATAAGAAAATCACAGATAGGTTTTGTCATATTTCAGAAAAACTAGTGTTCAAGTACTCATACTAGCCAGAAAAAGCATATCCAATCATTATGCTACCCATTTTGTTTGTACATTTCTCCATTGTGAGAAGGAGACAAGTTTATCTTATCTCATCATTTCTTATTCATATTTGCCATTTGTACAGTATATGTTTCTGGTCTTTACAAGTTTAGGCTTTTGTTTCAACTCAGTCTCTTTGATCTTATGATGCTCAAAATCCCCTTTTGAACCAAGCAACAAAATATTAGAAATTAGAAGTATCAGTTTGGGGGTTTTGGAACATTATTTCTGTTATAGCCAATAAACTGAGATACATAGCTCGCCTCAGGTTTAATTTAAGATAATATGTCTGTTGTCTGTATAGTTATAAAAATCCTCTTTTTTTGCGGTAATTATAAATAAATAATAAAATAAAAGGAAAAGGTAATGTACATGTGTATTATGTCGTGGGACCTCACAGCGTCCAAATTGCATAAACTTCCAAAGTATAAAGTAGCATAAGATAAGGTTAATCGGGTCAGGGTCTGATGATGTACCTGGAGTGGCTCCTCTCGTCGCCGCTTCTCTGCCTCCACCACACTGTAGAAGTCTTCCTCTGCTCGGGCAATCAGCTGCTGCACATCGTGAGCGTCTATGCAGTCGCCCGCACCCTGCCCAGTGTTGCTCTGCTCGGATCGGCTGCGCTCTTTCAGACGCTGCTCTCTCTGTCGGGCCTCCAGGATTTTCTCCCGCTTTGCCTCGCGCTCAAACATCTACAGACAGCCCCACATGCAGTATACTGTATGTGTTCACACTTACGCTCAATAGACATCATGTGTCTGTCTGGTGACCTGATCTTTGTCAAAACAGGGTAATAATAAAGAATAAATCTATGTATTTATGGATATGCTTTGCAGAGCTCGATGTCCGGGGTAAACGTTACATCCTGACTTGTGTTACTTTCGGTTGAACTAACTTGTTTGAAAGAAAAATGCCTGGGATGGATAGAATAATTGTCATTCTGAGCCCACCTGTAAATGCTACATTATTGTGGTTAATGACTCAGATCTACTTGTATGAAAAAATAAAGAAAATTCTCCACAGCTATTTAGCTCCCAAGTGTTTTTAATCTACAGCCCACAATAATGACGTTTTGGGCTAAGGTCCTTCATCAGACATGGGGCCTCAGCCTCACTATTGTGGTCTAAAAATAAATTCACATTGTGCACCTTTTTGAATCCAGCATGCTAGTTCTGGCAACTGGGATGTACGGCCTTATTTGAAACCTTCTCAGATCTACCTGAGGCATTAGTGCTGTTGTAAAAAGACATGGCTTGTATGTGAAGCCCATGGATCTCAGTGTCCTGAATCTGTGATGTTGAATGAGATCACACACATTCCTGCAGTACTCACAGCCGCCAGCAGGCTCTTGTCGTTCTTCTGCAGAGACGACAACCCAGAGCAGAACTCCAGCAGCGTAGCAGAACCGCCCTCGGAGCCACACGCCACCATCTGCCCACTGTCCTGAACACGCAGGCAGTAGAGGGGCTCGTCACACACCTGCAGAGCAAACACAGAGCGTTGGGTCAGAGGGTGGTGCTGGTGTTCAGTGGCGTGGATGTTCCCACCTTGAGACTCAACGAAGGATCATTCTGCTTAAAAAGAACGTCCCACACATCCAGCACGCCGTCCATCTTTGAGGTGAAGAAGACAGAGGGCCGCACAGGGCTCCAGCAGGCATCTGTCAGGTACGACATCTGGTACCTGAACACAACATACTGTATCTTCTACTGCAGTTTGACAAAAGGGTGCACCAGTTTAACTTCCCTCCATGCCATGCTCCATTTAGTATAATTATGATGTGTTGTACTTAGAAGTGGCAGTATGAAGTTTTCACGCTTTCACTCAAGTCATCACTAATACAATCAAAGGCTTGTTGCCAATCTACCCTGCCCGTGAGGAGCTGAACTTATAATTATGAGAGTAAAGTCGAAAGTGCCGTTTTGTTAAAAGTCCTGTAAGTTTGTATGCAATGTTATATTTGTATATGAGACACATTTTGGACCTGCATTTGCAGACTGACAATAAAGTGTTAACTGATCTCACCCTAAGCACTGGTTACAGATGCAAACTGGAAAAATCACCCGCTTTCCATTTAAATGAATGTGTGGTGCTGTTTTATATGTTTATATGCTTAGACCCCTCAAAAGAATACATGTTTTGCTCTGATTGGACAATCAGCTAGAAAACCTTAACATAAACATGAATATTGTGGACATCCTGTTTATTGTATGAATAGATCCACTTTAAAGCTTTGTTCATAAATGGGAAAATGAATGATTTGTAGATGTTTACCTATGGCACATAAAAACATGTAGATATAATTTAAAGTTAAGTTAGCTCCTCTGCTCTAAAGGCTAGAGATGTGTACAGTACCTGGTCCACATGATGGCCGAGTCCCTGATGTCCTCTGACCAGATGCATGCAGCCCAGTCTCCTGCTGTCAAGAAATATTTGGGGAAGAAAGGGTTGCGATGAAGAGCATGCACAGGCCCGTGGTGACCCTCATATGAGCACACAATCTTCTCCGCAGGGGTCTTTGCCTTTCTGTTACAGGAAAGCACCACACCCTGCTCTGTCCCAACCATGAACTTAGTGGGCTGAGGCCAGACAAGAGTAAAAGGTCAGGATGAAAACCAGGCAGATTAAAGACAGAATGAAGACACACCATGGTAGGTTCATACTCCAGACAGATAGCTCCCAAAGCCTGTTCCAGGTTTCCCTCTCGGCTCGGGTCCAATACCAGACGCTCTGTGGGCTCGCTCAGCTTCCGCACGTCCCACCAGAGCACCTGAATATAGTGACCACCATTTGAGTGATATCAAAGAGGACCACAAGCTACACCAACACTAGAAATAACCATTGTTGTTTACATACCCTTGTGTATGATTTTTGTTAAAACAAGTATGCCAGGTTTGTGAACTCAAAAGTAATTATTCTAAGTGTCTTGAATGTCATTATAGCTTTACAAGCTTCCTCACGTCCCACCAGAGCACCTGAAGTTATTGAGCAAACCTTTTAAGGTCTACAAACATTTAGGCTCTTTATGTGGTCTTAAAGTGAATGTCAGTCAATTTCTAAATTGTGAATGGAGAATGAAACTTTTACTCTAACTATACTCCTCCAGCTATCTAACTGATCAAAGTTATCCCAAGGCAGGGAACAATTTTAAATATATTATTTATGGAAAATACTTACTGTACATAATAGTACAGTGTCTCAGGTTCAGAAGTAAACATTATTTTAAGCTGCTGACTTCCCTGTTACACAGTGGGTACATGTAGGTGTTGGTTTCTCTCTCCAACATGCCACTTTTATCAGATGATTGTCAGTATACAGCCAGCACTAGTTAGGTGTGATACCTGCTGAGGCCCAGGGCACTGTGTGGTGATTACCTGTCCGTCTGTGGAAGCAGAGAAGGCATCTAACCCGGTTTTGGATTGAAGCCACATGATCTTATAAACCGGGTCTCTGTGACTGTGCTCCACTGAGGAAAGCTCCACCGGCTGGCTGCCGCGCCGAGTATCCCAGTATGCTGAACAGACACACCAAGCACTATCAAGCTTTGACTCTCAGAACAAACAAAACATCCATACACCAAGTTTTCGAGATTTGTTTTGTTACAAACACACACACACACATGAAGATTTCAGGTCAAAAATCACCACAAACTAGAGTGACAGAAAAGGATATATGTTTTTGTTTCGTTTACACCAATAATAAAAACTGAAAGCAAAATGAGTAATATGTTATGAAACCACCGTTCCACTAAATCCACTGATAATTTTGGCCAAAGACCATTTATCAAGTCCACTGATATTTCTGACACCCCTAAGGCCATCACAGAACAGCTATTAATATTTTGATTTTTGATTTTATTAGATTACAATGCTTAATCTATTGGGCAACTGAAGGCAAAGGTAGAGAAAGGGGGGTGAAAACTGTACTCTACACTTTGTAAAATAGAAAATGTATCATCGTTTGCCACTTTGTATTGGTCTTTCACAAAAAACTAATTTCCATGGGGTATGAATACTTTATCAAGGCACTGACCGATTTGTCCACTGTATGTGCCTCCGACCAGTGTATGGGGTTCTTTGGGATTGTACTCGATGCAAATGAGAGGGGACACAGGCTTCAAAGTTAACTCTGGAAGATTCGGGTTTTCTGTGGAAAAAAAACAATAATAATTTGAAAATAAATACAACTTTGAGGGAAATAATGGATCTATTCAATTGTTTCTTGCTTTTCACGAGATGCTGTAAACACTGACCGATATCCCAGATGTAGGAGTCCTCACACATGTTTGAGTGCGAGGTTTGGAAGTGTAAACAGGAGTAGGCACCTGCCAACTTTCTGCCTCCATCCGGATGCCATGACAGGCTTGTGACCGTGCGCTTCACCTTGTTTGGGTCTCTGAGGCAATAAAGGGTTTTGTATTTATTCAACAATAATAAAGCAACACAAATATTTTGGACTTTTGTTTGTTTCTTTTCTGATTGTATAATAAATATGGTTTCTGTCGTGTATCTGGAATCATGGAGTGTCTTTATCTTGCAGCACCTAAAAACATTGATGGTTTTGGCTGATGGTGGCTCTGCACTCTCGTCCTCATCCTCGTCTGTGAAGTACTCCTGATAAATATCTAGAGAATTGTTCTGCTGGATACAGTGCGCCATCATCTGCAATAAGCACAAATGTAAGAAGTTGCTTATGCCTTCTATGTACAGTATAAGGCTTAAGTGTAAATAAACTAGTACTGCTCAATCACCTGACATGTTTTGGCACTTTTGTCTTCCTAAGCCTTATGCAACAAGCACAAGAGATCTCTTAATCCTAATGGTCCAATGGTTTGTTCATTCATTCTATCAAAGAAGAGACTGGTAAGAATGTGTTGAGACTCTACTTAGCTATACAGTACATACTCCATATGAACCAAGCGGTAGTTACTTAAAATGTGATTTAATTACAGTAACTCAGTAGTGTAAAACATGACTCAAATACATTCAAATTAAAATTACTAGCAAAAACAAGGTTATTAGTTACTTATCTTACGGTTGGCTGTTCTTTAAATTAAAAGAAAAGTGCAGGTAGAGGTGTTATCGTTTACCACTATTTTAACATCTTTTATAAAAGCACATATATTTTGTGATTATTGTCCGCCGATTAGTAAACTAAAACTTACCCAGCATTGGGGCCAACACAATACCACATATTATTTGTCCATCTTATCACTATATTTATCTTTATATATCAAACTAAAGATATATTAATGAATTTGTTTGTTAAAAAGATTAATGGGACAGTGCACATTAATGAACATGTGTCCATGTAAATATGCTAAGCCATGGAGGCCAGTTTTCATCTGTAGGTTAATATATATAGCTTTATATTTCAACTTACAATGCGATTCACAGAACACACGTATAAAAGTATGTTTCAGTATACATTATCTTACACTGCCCAGCTGTGGGATGCTGTTCATGAAACCCTCATCCTTCTCCACTTTCTTGCGGAATCGAATGGTCTGTTCCATCTCATTGGGGTCCACATCTTTGGGCCAGCCCCCCTCTGTGTGGTTCACCCCTCTGCTCTCTGTCTCAAAGCGCTCCGTGTTCACCTGAACAAAGGACAGATCACTGCAAATAATTTCCCAGATAAACGTTATTTTGATGACCAATCAATTTTTTATATGATTTTTTTTTTTTCAATTAAAAATGTATGGTTAAAATCACGAAATGTCATTGAATGTGGAATTTTATATACATTTGACCAAGATAAAGCTCAAGAGATGCCCCTGGAGATATCTTTATAGAGATAACCAGTTTTACTTTTGGTTGTTTGATCAAAAATACTACACACATTAATCGACACATTTAATCTTGCCATCTTATCATTATTGAATTATCATTCTGAGCCATAAAAGTTTAAGGTTCAAAAGATGATTAATAAATTACAAAATTTGATGATTCATGGTTTGAATACTTTTTTGTCACAACAGGAATACTGTTTAAAGCAACGTTTAGTTTTAGACTGTAAATATAGTTTTAGACAGTAAATAGCTAGCTAACTATCCCCTACTGCTCGTACCTGGTGTTCGGACATGTCGCAGCGGGCCTGGGAGGCCTGGTCTCGGGGCGTGCGAAGGATGAACTGGGCACCGAGGCTGGGGTCTGGGAGCAGGTCCAGAGAGAGCTCCGTGACCCGGTCAGACAAGAGACAAGCCCGGCCGAACTCACTGCGGAGGCGAGAGTAAACGTGGACAATCTCCATCCTCAACCACGAGCTGAACAGAAGTTTACCGTCTCCTAGCAACGACCCCCATACAAACACGTTGGACCAGACAGTCTCTCAGATGTAGTGAAATTAATTAAAGCAGGAATTATCCAAGACAAATTAATGAATACATTATTATTACAACTAAATGGATGCAAAGACTCAAAAAAGAAATGTAACTAAAAATGTTCAATGATTCATCCTAATAAAATTACCTAATCAAAAGCACACGTTTTATGTTAAAGTAATATGAGGCCACAGGAGTTTGGATGACACATTAGCAGAGAAAAACACAGACAACGAGGTGGTGGAAATGTTTTATCAAATAAGGATTCAGAAAGTCAAGTTATTTTCAAGTCATTTGTTACAAAATGTATAATCTTGGTATCATATCCAGATGATGCGAGTCACCAACAAAGGTCCACTGTGGGTATTGCCCCAGGTTAAGTTGTCATGATGACCGAGTATTGAGTAGCTTGACAGTCTTGCGGCCATAATGCCAGTAGCTGTACCCAGATGCTGTTGTCGTAACTGCTGTGATAAACCTATAAAACACAGGAAGCAAGACAATATGAACATGTTTTATTGAGAATTTCAAAGTACTGTTTGTTGACTATTATTTGTTTTGTGAGGGTACTTTGTACTTTCAGAAAACTAACCATAGACACTGCAGCATAGTGCTGTCTGTGTACTGGAAAACTGGAGCAGCCAAAGATGCTGCCACAAGAAACAACTGGATGGCTGTGTTCATCTGAAAGGAAGAAATGCTGGTAATTAAACAGTTTGAGATTGTGAAAGACTAGCTGTTGAAGGAGACGTGCGTCTGCCATTCAACAGGCCTCAATTTCAGACATTTTTAGATTCAAGACTTAATATAAACAACAACCAAAAAGTATGTACCTTATTACACAAATACAAAAGCCAGCTCTTATGTTCATTTAGATGAGGAAAAAAAAAACATTGTCACTAGTTGTAATAGGCAGTAGTAGGCAGTATATCAGGTTGTCTCTGGTGGCCACAAATGGTCATTACAACTGGTTGGCTGCAAAATACTGACGTTTATGTTTACTGGACAATTTTAATGGAAAAGTAATTCAATTATTGATACATACTGTTCAATCTACATCTGTGGCACCACCTGCTTGTGAAAGCCTGATCCCAACAGACCACAGAGGCTAAACAGGGCAGGGCCTGGTTGTACTGTGATGGGAGACCTCTGAAAACAACAGGTGTCACAGTGGGGCCTCTGCATCCGTTAAGTGCCATACTGCCATTGTATCTTTGGGCAAGACACTTCAACCACATTGCCTAGTATGAGTCTGTGTGCGTGAATTGATGGTGGTCAGAGCCACAAACTGGTTGCCTTGCTTCTGTTAGTGTGCCCCAAGGCAGCTATGGCTACAGTTGTAGTTTTTGACCACTTTGTATGGAAGAATGTCAAAGTTATTCATCTAAAATTAAACAACAATCAAGACATGTAGTCACTTTTGTAAAGAATAAATGGTTTAATGACTTGAGAGTTGATATTGAGATGTGAAACACTTACTTTACTGAAGAACGTTGGCTTGAGCTGTGCTGTGGTGTAGCAGGGATTAAAGAATTTGGCCAGCGTCACCTGAGGAGGATTAACAAACATAAGGTCAGTGTGGATTTCTTTCACATGTACTGTAACCCTGGTCAATTATGGTTCAACAACTGTCACATTTATGTTGATTGGTTTGTACCCACCGGTGGCGGCACAGTCTTGTAGCGCACCCAAAAAACAGCAGCGATGAGCCCAATGTCTCTGGAGATGACTAAAGCTGTGAGCAGAACTGACACAGAACAGAGCAATCAGATACATGGACCGCTACTGACCTATACATAAGTAAAAACAAAATGTTTCTATAACAAAACAAATGCATTATAGGTTGAAATCTATTTCTAAATTTTTATTTTATTTTTTATCTATGATCAATAACTATATTTGTCAATTTGTGTATGTTCAAACTTTTTAGTAAAGATTATAATTATAATTAGTGATGATCCAAATGTGTGCTGAGTAATATAGAGTTGTTTTTAAGCATAAAGGCCTGGTGAAACAGGACTGCTCCAGGAAATTATTTGCAGGATTCAATAAAAAAATAGGGCTGGGACTCGATTAAATAAATTAATCTAATTAATTAGAGGCTTTGTAATTAATTCATCTCTTTTTAACCGCATATAAATATTTGACATGAGAACAGTGAGAAGTAATTTTTTTCACATGGATTCTTAGTTTACCATTGAATAATGACTGAATACATAAGCTTAAGCAACACATGTTCATTGTGGATGATAAGGGGATCAGAGGGACTTCTTTCACATCAAATAACGTATCTGTCATTGCCTCCACACTCTCTGACCACAACAGACGCTTTTTGCCCAAAATTCCCCCTCCGGGGGAAACCTGCACTTGCAAGCTGGGGATTGTCTGAACCCGTGTCAATGGTTCTGTCCGCGTATGGTCCTGTCCGCGTATGGTTCTGTCCGCGTATGGTCCTGTCCGCATATGGTCCTGTCCGCGTATGGTCCTGTCTGCGTATGGTCCTGTCCGCGTATGGTCCTGTCCGCGTATGGTTCTGTCCGCGTATGGTCCTGTCCGCGTATGGTCCTGTCAGAGTGTCTGTGGTCCTGTCCAACTGTCTATGATCCGCGTGTCTATGATCCGCGTATGGTCATGTCCGCGTGTCTATGGGTTCTGTCCGCGTGTGTCTATGGTCCTGTTCACGTGTTTATGGTCCTGTCTATGGTCCGCACTCGGAGCCCCGTTACAGCAGTGCTCTCACTGAGCTGTCATAGCGGGTGTCACAAAGCGGCTGCAGCTGCTCCCGGGGTCAGAGCGGAGGATGTAACGTAACGTTCGGTTGATCAACACATATTAAAATTTGGAATGTATAAAACTAGTTAATTTCACCTAGATATTTTCAGAAATTAAAGACAAGACGTTATATAATAATTATTTAATGAAAACACAATTTAGCCAAAAAAATGACACTCGACCTATTTTCACTGTTTACTCGGAACATGCTAGCGCGACATCCGACGGGTTTTTCCAGATTGCATCACATTTTTGTTTGAATAACACATTCACTTGTTGCATAAGCACATGTGTAATGTAAAACAACCTCCTTTTTAGTTGAAAAACATTTTCAGGTACCCTGGGACAATACTTCACTCGGCGGTACTTTTCGAGACGCTTCTGAGGAAGACTGAAGTATCCGTAAAAACATGTCAGGGTAGTAACGTCGCTAACCTACTATTGTCTGGTATAGAAGAACCCAATACTCTTCATTCTACTAAGACCAGATGAATCTTCCTAAACTATGCCATGGCAGGTATATCAAACCAATTAAATTCTATTATTTATCATCAGTAATACTTGAAAACAGCGAAAACTCACCTGGGATAAGCTCAGCGTAGGTGAGACTGATGTATAGGACACTAATGAGAATCTTATCAGCTAATGGGTCCAGAGCACTCCCCAATGCAGACTTTTGACTGGGCCATGTTCTAGCAATGTAGCCGTCAAGCTGAAACACACACAATATCTAATTTTGTACATGTACTGCCAGGTCAAGAAGGATGACTCCATTTTGACATAGTTGATCATTAGCCAATTAGTCGTAATAACATAAAAGACTGTAAATTCCCACTTTACATGAGAGCTGATATCTGTACCATGACAAGGAGGCATAAGGAGTTACCAGGTCAGTGGCTCCTGCGAGTGTGAACAGAGCCAAGCTGATGTGGAAGTGTTGTGTGATGATGAGCTGGGCAAGCACAGGGGCCAGGAGTATCCGACAGACGCACAGTAGATTTGGGATGGTCCATGGATTTTCATGCTATAGACAGAGCAAGAACTGGTCAGACACCAAACAGAGAAACTCAAAACAAAGATCAGAAACAAACAAGCATTTGATGCCTGGGCCTAATTTCTTGTTATGATCTGCAGGGAGCTGCAATAATAGATATGAGAATAACTTCTGAAGTTCATGAAGTGATCAGACCTAAAATATGATGTCTCAGCCTTAAGTATGATAAAACCCATTAATTTGCTATAAGCCAGATCAACAGTGTAATATATTATGCCTAAATGTATTTGTTATGAAACAATAACATTGTAAACTATTCTCCTTACTATACACTACATGTATGGCATACTCAGTAAAGGCACTCATTTATAAATCCTGCAGTTTCAGGTCCAGCTCACCAGCTCTTTGAATTTGAACAGTCCATGTCCGGAGACTGGAATGTGTTCAGTGTGATCAGTCTCGGATCCTTTCGTTGGCTCGTGTTTTTTACTGTCGCAAAGTCCTCGCTCTACAGGTGAAACCCTTCGTGGTGTCCTAGGGCTTCTACCAGGTAAAAACACAGTCCCAAATGTACAGCTCTGTAGTGGGAAGAGCCTGGAGATGGAAGAGACAGGGAGATGGGTCTGGCTGAGACTAACGCAGCCAGTGACAAGTGTGTGTGGAGACCGCCATGGCGGAGCCCCGGGAGCGCACACACTCCTGCTGCGGGCAGGAGCCGCACAACAGACAGCCGCTGCTCGTGTGCAGCGAGGCGCAGACCATCTCAGCACACACACAGTCAACATGTTTTATCGAGCCTTCGTTAAGGAAACACTTCCCTACGCTTGTCTTGCCCCATAGTCGTCTGCAGACTCAAAAAGATAGAGTCCGGGGGCTGTAGCTCCGGTCAGCCAGCTGCCATGTTGCCGTATTCCGAGTCAGTGTCACGTGAGGTGTCGTAGATCTGCCACTTGCGTTATTATAATACATCCATGGCTACTGTCACTCACACTCTCCTTCTGTTGCACAGGGGCCACAATGGGATATTGCTACTTTTTAATTTACTTTGTTAAATAATTTTTCATGTGAAAGCAGCTAGCTCTATATCTTATCTAATCTTTTCGTTTTTATATCAACTAGATATTTTTTAATTTTTTTTATTTTTTTATTTAAAGGGACAATGCATATTAATGAACATGTAAATGTAAATATGCCAGAATTAGCCAATGGCTACTTTCCATCTGTAGTCCCTGGCAGATCAAGAAAATACAAAGACTAATATACGACATTTAAAAGACAAAAGATCATCACACAAATCATCCACACAATTAAACTTTAGATTTAAAAGATTAGATATGTAATATTTAAAGGGAAGATGAGGGAAAACGCTTTGTGGAAAGTTGTGGGAACATGTGGTTGGCCAGAGGTGCTTCAAGCATCAACCCGAATACTCATCATCACAAGGGTTTGCCGTATATATTATACATTATACGTTTGGGCAAATGGAACAAGGACCCGTGCTTTCTGAAGTTTTAATCAAACGAAGCATGTCATTTTCAGGATTATTTTAAGACTAGTAGTTTCCCTGTTTTTCAGGTTCAAAATGCGCACAGCAAAGATGCACGTTGTACTTTTTCAGTGTCATGAAAACAAGTTAATACTATACCTTTGCTCACTGCATGTATGAAAGGTTTACAGCTCTTTGGAGCTTCTATTTCTCCATCCTCAGCCTCGCTCAGGCAAGGATTTATATTTGGACAAACATTTGCTGACATTTCTGTAAACATTTTAATATTCTCCATTAACTTAACACTGGTGTGAACACAGTGAGTCTTCTGAGTTTAAAAATAATGTTTAATTATATATATATATTTTTTCACAGATGTTTGTGTAGATCTGCAAGCAGCATCTCTGATGTCACACTGTCTGCAGTTGGTAAACTTTAGCCCCCTTTTTCAGCAGAAAGCCTTGCTCGTTGAGGGAACTCAATAGCCCCTCAAAGTCCATGACCTAAAACAGTAAAAAACAAATTATTACAATATTGTGGATTTGAATTCCAGAGTATTCAGGTTTCATTCAGTTTCTGATAATGCCCCGTATGAAACTGTTCCCTCTCTAAAGTTGGTCACCTTGATGTTGAGCTTGTCTGCCACACCACGGATGGTCTGCAAGTCAAACTCTTTTTGGTTGGTTTTCTGAGCATGTGTGTGCAGAGCATGGACCAGCCTCTTGGCAGCGCTGCGCTGACTCATGCCTGAACCCAACTGAGAGCGTTCAAAGTCCAGATTGCCCAGACCATCTGAGTATGTGTCCGCCAGACTGTAAGAATAATACATGCAACTGAAGGCCACTGATGTAAGGACATTCAGCACAGGCATTTGTGACATTTGGACAAACAATTTCACCTGTGTTTCATAATCTCCACAACATCTTCTGCGTCACTCTTATTCGCCATCTCCCTCAACTCCAGCCTGGCTCTGGCCTACAGAAAAACAAATACAGGCACAGTATATGTGTGCTACTTGTGTGACTATAACGCATTCAGGTTGCACTGTACTTTATATCTGCAATCTAGAAAAAGTGTTCAAATTAAATTATTGAACAATTAGTTCACTATTCCTCAAGAGCAGTATATATAAAAAAGCCCATCCATAATTATTTACTGTAGTTATAGTTTCTTCTTTGAGATTTATTTTCAGCAAGCTGATTATCCTTGCGCTTCATTTGCTTGTGTTCAGTACCTCTGTGAGGCGGATCAGAGACTCCAGCTGCCTGGTGGTGATGGGGGTGGCGTCAGCGGCCTGGCCCTGAGCTCTCAGAGACAGGTAAAAGCTCTGCAGAGTCTCTGCTGCTTCGGAGGACAGAGATGGCTGCACATACTGACGGGCGTAGCTTATGTACTTCCTGAACAGGAAGGCGGGAATTGGGTCCACAGTCTCCCCCATTGAAACCTAACCACACATGCTTTATTGGACAAAAGTAAAAGCAGCGACAAATCTGAACACAAAAACAACCTTCTACAATGATCACTCTAAACTGATCAACACCTATATTTGCAAAAATATTCTTGAACCAGTGAAGGGACTGAAATTATGTTTTTGTTTATCCTGCAAGTAACAACAGAACACCGTTGTGTTAATAAAAGTTTAAACTCTCGTATTGCACTAATGGAAAGGCCTGATTGGCTTAATCAAAATCACAAAACCAATACCCAGTTTGTTTATAGCTCATCTTTAGCAGCTGAACTTTTTTACATTGTGAAAAACCAATTCAAATGAATAAAGACCCCACCTGGAGTCGTTCAGAGAGTGGAAGATCAGAGTGTTGGAGCAGAATGGAGCTCTCCATTTGGCCATTGTCTCTGCTGACCACGCTGCTGCTCATCCTCCCTTTGCCCGACCTGTTGGCCATCACATGTTCAGACACACGCCGGTCATGTGACTCATCTGGGATGTCCAGCAAAAGGAAGACCACATCAAAGCGGGAGAGCAGTGCTGAACCCATTCTAAAAATATGCAAACAAAATACAGCCAGTCCAATACATGCACGCCTACTGTTTACATTGACACGGCTTGTTGACCAACTTGAGATTTTCCGAGACGGTTTTCCCACGGTTGTAATGACCTCCAATGGGATTAGCAGCAGCCACCACCGAAGTACGAGCAGGTAAAGAGGACACAATACCAGCTTTGGCTAAACTCACAGACTGCTGCTCCATAGCTTCCAACAAAGCCTGCTGCTGGTTCCCCAACTTATCAAACTCATCAATGCAGCAGACTCCTAAAATCATCAGTCAGAAGAATTAGAACAAGCAGGTCACACAGGATTTTACTATTGTGGTATCAAAGTAAGATCATTTATTGTTTAACCTTGATCAGCCAGTACCAGAGCTCCTGCCTCCAGAGCATAGTCTCCTGTAGCTGCATCTCGAGACAAAGTGACCGTCAAACCTAAGCACACGATTGGATGAGTATTACTTCTTCTATTCGTTTTCAGTGAATGTTGTTACCGGTGCTGCTGGTGCTGTTCCCACAGACGTAAATGCCCCTCGGAGCCACATTACACACTGCCTGAACAGAAAGCAAATGCTTTTAGAATCTAATATATGTTTTTTTTTAAAAAACTATGCTGAATTGCTTGTTATAATTGTAAAGCTGTTATTTACCTGTAACATTTGACTCTTGCCGAGCCCAGGGTCTCCTACCATCAGCACATGGGGGTCGCCTCGCACCGGGACACTGTTCTTGTTAATGTTTTTCTGTCGGCCTCCAAATAAAGCCAGCACAAGAGCGGCTTTTACGAGCTATAAATGCAATGTAAACAGCTAAATTTTACGACTGAAGAATAATGGTAATGCTTTACTTACCAAATGACCATAGATGACAGGACACAGGGAGCTGTAACACAAGCGGAGATGGTGACAACACTAACCATCACAAGATATACAGCAGAAACCAGAAATCTACTGTAAATATATACAGTAAAAGCAGGGTGCGTTGCATTTGTTCGCACATTCTCTATGGGATTTAGGTCAGGGCTTTGTGATGGCCGCTTCAAAACAATACTACTATTGCCATATGCTCGATGTCATTGTCCATTTGGAAAGGCAAAAAAATACATTACTTTGCTGGCATCTTTAGAAGTTGCTTCAATAGTTCATACTACATGATGCCATTTACCCATTCCCCAGGTGCTCCCGAGCTGGGAGGGTGTTGATTACTATCGTCACCGTTTTTTCTCGAGTTGAGGTTACACCTATTAATATGTCTATTAACAAGTGTATGTAAACTTCCGGTTTCCGCTGTACTTTGCGTCTGTTTGTAAATGCACAAACAGATATGGTCTTCAAAAGTTATTATGAAAGGGAGAGGGCTTACTGAACCATTAGCTTCAGCAGGTCTGGCTGTGACTGGATCTCCTGAATAGCATAGAGCTCTTTCAGACTGAACTCCTCTGCAGAATGAGCTTCAGCTGAACCTTGACTTCCCGCTTTTGACTGAAGTCCTATACAAAAAGATCTGAATCGCATCCAGCCACTTGAATAATGCTTTTAAAAATCTCAGTGCCCCACCTTTAGTGTTACTGACAGAAGTGGCCTCAATGTACAACAGGAACATACACTGGTCCTTGTTTCCTCTCTGAAGTCCTGAAAAACATGCAAGATAATATAGGTGAATGAGGTGAAAACAAATAAGACACAGATTCATCAAGCTGTCACTTTATGAACCACACAATCACCTTCTTTGGTCACTCGCACGATGCCCGTCACTGTGACCGTGTCTCCAGGGACGCAGCTGTCACAGAGGTCAGCGGTCAAGTGGCACTCCACTGTGCGGGGAATACGACCCGCCTCCCGCTGCTCTCCACCAATCAGCTCTTGAACCCTGGATAAATGAAGAGATGAAGGTATTATCCTGTAAATAACCCTGGCCTGTTGTTTGCTAACATTGTTGTTGGATGACTCGTATGAATGTTTTAATGGATTTTATCTTATTTTATTGTAAAGCACTTTGGTCACCTTGAATGTTGTAAAATGCTCGATAAATAGTTAGATTAATTGATTGATGACTTGATTTCTAGTCCTGTGGCAGCTCTCAGGGATGGACTGAAATATTTTTTTCCTCAAGCGAAAACAGCACATATTTTATTACTGCCCTAACTGCCACAGAAGGAAGACAAAGATGAATGGTAACTGAATAAAACGTTTTAAAAATGCACTTTGAGAGATCCCCAACACGACGGATCATCCAAAATTGTAATAAGGTCTTCAGAGCATCACATCTGCACAATTTCAGCTCAATCTGTCCAGAAGTTGTTGCACAATTCTGACCACAGGCAAACAAACAGACCCACACACACGTTGGCAGGAGAATACAAATTTGAAATGATCAGAATTATTAGTGTGATTTCATACATTTCGATTGAAGATTATTGTTGATATTGCACCATTAATGACAATAATACATTGAAAAGATTCAAAAAGCAAACTTCAAACATGAAAACAAAACACCAGACTTCATCTAACCAACATAATAGTAAATCCTTTTTTAACATTCAACACATTATCCTCAAACCCATATGAATAGTATAATATAACATATTGCCAAATAGTCCAATCTTTAATCTGTCTAGCGTCTGTTATGTCTCATCAGTAGCTAATTTCCCTGTGTGTAGAACTTGCAATAAAACAAATATAATCCAATGAAATGTATAGAAAAATCTCAATAAAAAACTCACTTGATAATTTGCCAGTCCACAGTCTGTGTGAGAGGGGAGCTCCTGCACGGCACCAACGTCCGGCCACGGCAGCTTTGGACCACGCACTACGGCGAAAACCAGAGACATGAGGCAAGGCAGGCAGGAGCAGGCAGACAGGAGCAGGCAGACAGGAGCAGGCAGACAGGAGCGAGCAGGCAGACAGGAGCAGGCAGACAGGAGCAGGCAGACAGGAGCAGGCAGACAGGAGCAGGCAGACAGGAGCAGGCAGACAGGAGCAGGCAGACAGGAGTAGGCAGACAGGAGCAGGCAGACAGGAGTAGGCAGACAGGAGTAGGCAGACAGGAGTAGGCAGACAGGAGTAGGCAGACAGGAGAAGGCAGACAGGAGCAGGCAGACAGGAGCAGGCAGACAGGAGCAGGCAGACAGCACAGGAGTAGGCCAGGAGCAAGCAGACAGGAGTAGGCAGACAGGAGCAGGCAGACAGGAGCAGGCAGACAGGAGCAGGCAGACAGGAGCAAGCAGACAGGAGCAGGCAGACAGGAGCAGGCAGACAGGAGCAGGCAGACAGGAGCAGGCAGACAGGAGCAGGCAGACAGGAGCAGGAGCAGGACAGGAGCAGGCAGACAGGAGCAGGCAGACAGGAGCAGGCAGACAGGAGCAGGCAGACAGGAGCAGGCAGACAGGAGCAGGCAGACAGGAGCAGGCAGACAGGAGCAGGCAGACAGGAGCAGGCAGACAGGAGTAGGCAGACAGGAGCAGGTAGACAGGAGAAGGCAGACAGGAGCAGGCAGACAGGAGCAGGCAGACAGGAGCTGGCCGACAGGAGCAGGCAGACAGGAGTAGGCAGACAGGAGTAGGCAGACAGGAGTAGGCAGACAGGAGCAGGCAGACAGGGAGCTGGCCGACAGGAGCAGGCAGACAGGAGTAGGCAGACAGGAGCAGGCAGACAGGAGCAGGCAGACAGGAGTAGGCAGACAGGAGCAGGTAGACAGGAGAAGGCAGACAGGAGCAGGCAGACAGGAGCAGGCAGACAGGAGCTGGCCGACAGGAGCAGGCAGACAGGAGTAGGCAGACAGGAGTAGGCAGACAGGAGTAGGCAGACAGGAGCAGGCAGACAGGAGCAGGCAGACAGGAGCTGGCCGACAGGAGCAGGCAGACAGGAGTAGGCAGACAGGAGTAGGCAGACAGGAGTAGGCAGACAGGAGCAGGCAGACAGGAGTAGGCAGACAGGAGTAGGCAGACAGGAGCAGGCAGACAGGGGTAGGCAGACAGGAGCAGGCAGACAGGAGTAGGCAGACAGGAGCAGGCAGACAGGAGCAGGCAGACAGGAGTAGGCAGACAGGAGCAGGCAGACAGGAGCAGGCAGGTAGACAGGAGCAGGGAGGCAGTGGGCATGTACCTTTGTGGGGGTGCTGTACTGGCCGTGCTGGAGCGGCAGAGCCTGAGTGTGGGAGCAGACCAGACAGCGGAAGGCAAGGCGCGTGCAGAGCGGCCTGATGTTACTGACTCTGACCACAGTCCCACGCACACACACAAGCCGCCCGAACACACTAGCCCTCAGTAGCCTCAGCGGAGTCAGCGGGTCGTAGTTATACAGCCTGAAACATGGAGGAGTCAGGCACCATCTACAGCAGGGTGGGGCAGTTACTTTCATCTGGGGGCCACATTGACACCTTGTCACATAGTTATCATTTCATTTAAAAAGGTGGAAATCCTCGTCTGGCCTGGTGGAGCTTTTAGCTTGGTTTCATCTAAATATATTGTTTTGCCTGGATATTTATACAGTATGTCATTAAACTTTCAGCATGAAGCAAGTACTGAACCACTTAAACTAAACCGGGCCCCTGCCAGAACAGTCGAGGAATGCACCTTTGATTTGGCAGAAGTGTAAAACATTTGTATGTGTTATTTTCCCGTCTGTAAATTGTTAGTCATGAAATGTTTCTTACCCATTTTTTCATTTGTTTAATTCCAAGTACGAAGGAGATATATTTTTTATTTTTATGAAAAGGTAGATATTTATTTGTCACATACAATGTTAACAACACCGTCAATAACATGTCGTGAAATTACTAGTAACGATACAGCTGTCTTTTTTAAGGAGATGTTTTTCTTTTAACGTTTAGTTTGGAGTAATTTAGAAAATATTTTAGAGATGCGCATTTATGATGCAGTGGCAGCAGCGGTGTCATATTTCCAATCCGTGTGGACGTACTGCTGAGAGAGACAAGCAGATGTGTGTCTGCGCCAGTGGGGGCAGGTCCCAGCTCAAAAGTGGCCAAAATGACGTGCGCTGACATGCTTGCAATACCACCCCGGGCCGATGGGGGTGGACCCAGAAGTAGAATTAGCCAATGCTAACATATAGCATTGGCAGACCTCTCAAAAACGTCTTTACAGGATGGTCCAAAAGTTGGCTCTTGGCCCAAAGCTCCGTTCCACATGTGTGTCAATGCTGAGGGGGGTGAATTTTTTTGGACCACTCTAGTTTACTTGCTGTGAATTTTTGAAGTCTCTAGTTCAAATGAATGGAGCTCTCGCCGGCTGACGCATGCGCAGATGCGTTTTTCCACAATTTTCTTGTGGGCGGGACCACTCGCGGCCATTTTGGATAGGTCCAGTAGAGCACATTTTTTGGCCCATTAGTTAGAACGGAGGAGATAGGCGTGACTCTGTCCGTTAATATATACAGTCTATGGTCTGTGCTAGCACTGAGGGCTTAATAACATTCTATTCATTACTGGGAAAGGTCTGCGAGCTGGATCACAATGTGAATCGGACTTTGCGTTTTCACTGGCATTTTATGGCTTAGTTAATTTATACGTTATTATCCCTGTAGGAAAAGTTGTTCTCTGCATTTGACCCATCCTTTCAATGCCACTAGGGCCTCTGTCAGGAGCAGAGGTCACTGTAGTACAGCACCAGGGGCCCATCTGCAGATGTTGATACTAAGCTAGGTCAAAACCAGAGCTGAAGGATTTTAGCTATTGCAAATGTCTTTAGTGGTAGGGGAAATCGGACTCCCTAAAGAAAACCTATGCAGACATGGGGAGAACATGCAAACTCAACTCAGAAAGGTCCCATTACAACTGGTATTTGAACCCAGTACATTCTTGCTGAGAAGCGAGAATGCTAACCACTGTGCAACCATGCCAGCTATTGAGACAAAATCCTTTTGCAATAATAGTTTGGTTTAAAACTGACCTCATATTTATTTTCAGTAAGTAATATTACCCATAGAAACATGTTTAATAAATGTTTAAAAAAGTATGATTTGGGTCTTTATAAAGGTTTAGGAAAAGGTACAAAAATAAAATAAATAACGAGTATCAACATTCCATTCAACTGTCCATCTGAAGATGACCGCCCTTAAGAACCATGATGAACAAAAGTTCAGTGTCTGAAGTCTGAAGTGAGCCGTGGGTGAGTGGAGCTAACTTATATATACTTACGTTATAACTAACATCATCAATTGTACTCCAGTACTCTTGCCACATAGTAAAAACACAGAAACTTGTGACAGCAGAGATTTGAGATGAGAACATTTGTTACCTGGCGCTGATGTGGGGGATGTTTATGAGCGGTGTGGTGACCGGCAGCTCGTCCCCTTTTAGCTCGGCCGCCTGACGCTCCAGGTCAGAGGTCAACACCTGCACGGAGGGAAAGACTGGCTTCTCAAGGACATAGTGGATCAGAATAATGCTATACTAACTTAGATACTTAGTATAGCATTTACCGCTTATTAACACAGCTTACCTGATGAATAGCCACACCCAGGCAGCTGAGGATCATCTCTGGTTGTTCCTTCAGTTCTTTGGCTAAGTCTGGAAGCTCTTGAATAACCACCTGGTCACTGATCAGCTCTGCATAGTCCACAAGTATGCTGCCCTGACGTTCGATCTCATCCTGAACATGATTAGGATTTTTCATTTTTTTTTTAGAATCAGAATTATTTTTATTGCCAGTGTAAGTAACAAGAAGCCACAAATTAGGAATAGGCAGCGTCTGGTTACCACAATTGTAATGATATCCATCACATGATTTCTGCAATAATGATCATCAATAGAAACACATTGATTCTTTGAACAATGTGTCTAAGTATTATTGTACAGTATGTTGAAAACCGCAACATTTAACAGATAATGATTTCTTGTTTTTCTCATTTCAGCATTCCAGCAAGGTGCCAGAAGACTTAAAACCACAGCATTGGGTCAACTAGACACGTCAGATAGCACTGACATCATGGACCTCTGACCTTGTCAAATAGGTTAATCTTGGAGGTGAAGTACTTTTCAAACACTTTGATTCTGCCTGCGTTCGGTGAGCTCTCAGTAAAACCTGTAAAAGATATAACGTGTCATACTATGATCATTGGGTCAGTAAAATTACAATATAAGAGAAAATATGTACCTTCTGTGAAGTACAGGGCCCATCCTTTATATGGACACTCACAGTTTAATGTGGCCTGAGTGCAAACTGTGGTCATCAATGTCACAATCACATTTTGGAGGATTACAAAAAAACTTTGAGGAAAATTATATCAAATTTGTAATCTCAAACCTCTCTGAGTGCCACCAAGCAGCTCTTGTGCTCCTCGTCCACTGCTCGAGGAAGAAGACCCTCTCCAAGTGTTGCCCCCTCCTCTCCAGGTGTTGCCCCCTCCTCTCCAGGTGTTGCCCCCTCCTCTCCAGGTGTTGCCCCCTCCTCTCCAGGTGTTGCCCCCTCCTCTCCAGCTATTGCCCCCTCCTCTCCCGGTGTTGCTCCCTCCTCTACAATTGTTCCTCCTGGGCTCCCCTCCACTCATGCTTGTAGTTCTAGAAACTGTAGGATAATGAAACCATTAGTTTATTCTAAGATACAGTTTATTTTATTTGTTGTTTTAATTTTTTTTTTTTTTTACTTACAATAAGTATCTGTATGTTATTATATCTATTGTTCATTTTACTAATAATTTGAATGCAATAAATACATAATTGTGTACCATGTCATACGTCTGCAGGGTCAAAGTGCCTCATGCAGTAATGCTTCATATTTAGAAAATACTGACTGCAAACGTAACTGACGTAAATAAACATCACGCTTTTGTCTTGACCATATATTGGAAATATTATATATCTTGACTAGATTCTTTCCAATATAGAAGAGAAATTGATCAATAGAAAATAAAAAAATAATATGATCATGTCATTGATGAGTCAAGTTATGTAATAAAGTCAAGTCTCTACGAGTCAAAGCCACAAGCATAAACAAGTTGATCCTCAGACAGAACTGAAAATGGACCTGGCGCCCCATCTAGTGGCACAATGAGGAAGTTCTCTGCAACGCCAAAACTACCTCACCCCGTGTGCTTTAACATTCAACGCATGTACACTGTGCAAAACATACAGGAATGTGTCATTTTAGATAACCAAAGCTCAAAGTGAAAGTAAATGGGCCCTGCTGGGAAGAGATCGGTCAACGCAGATAGACCGGGTTAACGCAACGCTAACAAACGTGGACGACACAACGTAAACAGAAAGCTCTACGAACCTGATCCTTTGGAGAAATCTCAGCGTGAGGGTGTAGGAATCAGAGACTGTAACGTGTGAATGTATATTTCATAAACTGTGAACAAAACCGTCTTCACTTGACTCATGTTGACAGTTCTCCGTGTTTCCCGCGTGTAGTTCTATTTTCCCAACACAAAATTACATTATATTATGTTGATGCAGTAAGCACTTGAATAAATGTCCCTGGTCTGAGTTATTTGGCTAAATGTATACTGTACTGAATTAAGTAAAACAATCTGTGCACTTTGCTTTGACAGAAAATTGCACAAGCTAAACGTAACCTGGCATCACTGATTTGAGGGAAAAACGCTACAGTGACGTAATAAAAGCATGCTAGCGAGTGCCTGACCTCTGGTGGCGAATCAGCGAATCAAAATTATTGTCTGTGGAGTAGTAATAATTTTGTTTTTGTTAACATGTTTTAATGTATGTGTAGTAACATGTTTTCATTCATGTATTTTCTGATTACTTCATACTGCGCTGCATCTACTGTAAGGCAAGGCAAGTTTATTTGTATAGCACAATTCATACACAAGGCAACTCAAAGTGCTGAACAAGATAGCATTAAAATCATAAATAATCACAGAACATTAAAACGAAAGATAAAAATATAAAATCCCTCAGTTGTATGCACAGCTAAACAGCACTGTTTTAAACTTGGTTTTAAACATTGTCAGAGAGGAGGCCTGTCTCACATCTTCAGGAAGACTGTTCCAGATTTTAGCAGCATGAATCTGAAAAGCAGCCTCCCCATGTTTAGTTCTGACTCTGGGCACTAACAGGAGTCCAGTCCCTGTGCTCCTCAGAGTCCGGGCTGGTTCATATGGGACTAACATGTCACTAATATATTTTGGTGCGAGGCTATGGAGAGACTTGTACACAAGCAGAGCTGTTTTAAAGTCTATTCTCTGAGCCACAGGAAGCCAGTGCAGAGACCTGAGGACTGGACTAATGTGGTCGTACTTCCTGGTTCTAGTCAGGACTCGAGCTGCTGCATTTTGAATGTACTGCAGCTGTTTTACAGCCTGTTTGGACAGACCTGTGAGCAGGCCATTGCAGTAGTCTAACCTACTGGAGACAAATGCATGGATAAGAATCTCCAAGTCTGCTTTAGACACTATGTTTTTGATCCTGGCAATGTTTTTTAGATGGTTAAAAAGCTGCTGATGTTACTGATTTGATGTGGCTATTAAAATTTAAGTCTGAGTCCAGTATTACCCCTAGATTTCTGACCTTGTTTGAAGGTTTTAGGGAGAGAGACTGTAGGTGACAGATGACGCTCTCTCTTTGTTTCTGGGGACCAAAGACAATCATTTCAGTTTTGTCTGCGTTTAGCTGAAGGAAGTTGTTTTGCATCCACTCACTGATCTGTTGGATACAGTGAAGGAGTGAGTCCACTGGTCCATGTTCTCCTGCAGTCAGTGAGACATAGATCTGAGTGTCGTCTGCATAGTTATGATAGGACACTTCGTTTCTGCGTGTTAACTGACCTAACGGCAGCATGTAGAGATTGAACAGAAGAGGTTCCAGGATCGACCCCTGTGGGACTCCACAGGTCAGGGCCATATGATCTGAGACACAGTCTCCAATCTCCACAAAGTACTTCCTGTCTTCAAGGTAAGACCTAAACCAACTTAGGGCGGTGCCAGCGACGCCAACCCAGTCCTCTAGTCTCTGTAAGAGGATCTCATGGTCGACGGTGTCAAAGGCAGCACTTAGATCTAACAAGATTAAGATTGAGACTTTGCCTGCGTCAGTGTTCAGCCGGATATCATTTGTCACCTTGACGAGAGCAGTCTCAGTGCTGTGGTGGGGTCTAAAGCCGGACTGAAACATATCAAATGAGTTGTTGATTATAAGAAATCTAGTAAGCTGTAGGTAGACAACTTTTTCAAGGACTTTCCCCATACATTTTCGTAAATCCTTCCCCTACTCCCCTCCCCCTCCACAGATTATAGTTTATTTTATATCCTGAATTCTCCCGGTTTCCTTTCCTTCTCACTGTCTCCTGTCCTAACTCCACTCAGGTCTGGGTATCAGTCTTAGTAATGAGAAAGGGGTGCTCAGTTTGGCTGCAGCGGAGCATTGATGGGGCAGTGGGAATTGCATTTCAGATTGCTTCATTTGCTGTGAGACCTGCTCCTGTGTGTCTGAGATGAGTGTCACACAGTGCATTTCTGACTTCAGCAAGCATACAGCAGCGACCAGTTTGAGTAAAAAGTAGAAATAAAAGTATTGCTGTGTCATTGTCTGTGGATGATATTGTCTGTTGTAAAAATGTCTGTGTAAGCCCTAAAGAATGAGTGAAACATCACAAACAAAAAGAACAAGAAAGCAAACAAGATAAACTTCAAGCTTCAAAGGTCCACAGAGAAAAGTTGCTTCAAAGCCAAATTCGGGCAAAAAGGAAGGGCTGGTGCCTTTTCTTGATTTCTCAGTGGATCATTTTGTTTGAAGCTTGTCTTATTAGAATACATTATGGGGGTATTTTCAGAATCAGAATCAGAATCATTTTTATTGCCACGTAAGTAACAGGAAGTCACAGACTTGGATATTGCTTTGGCTCAGTGCAACAGTCAGAAAAAGATAATACAAAATAAAGAATAAAAAATAAATGTAAAATTAAAATAGAGTTACAATTACTATTTACAATATACAAGTGCACATGGTGCACACAATGTAAGGTGACAGCAGTACAGTGAAGTAAAGTGACGTGAGGGGAAGAAACTGTTCTTGTGGCGGGAGGTTCTAGTCCTGATGGGCCGCAGTCTCCTGCCTGAGGGGAGTGGTTGGAATAGTCCATGTGCAGGGTGAGAGGGGTCGGCTGTGATACGACCAGCCCTGCAGCGATGGAAGGCTGCGGCCAATCACTTCCTCTGCAGAGCGCACAATGCGCTGTAGTCTCTGTTTGTCCCTGACTGTGGCTCCAGCGAACCACACGGTGATGGAGGAGGTGAGGATGGACTCGATGATGGCCGTGTAGAACTGCACCAGCATCTGTGCAGGCAGCTTGGCTTTCCTGAGCTGCAGCAGGAAGTACATCCTCTGCTGGGCCTTCGTGATGAGGGAGCTGATGGTCGGCTCCCACTTGAGGTCCTGGGTGATGGTGGTGCCCAGGAAACGATAGGACTCCACTGAGGTGATGGGGGAGTCCATCACGGAGGGTGGGGGCGGGGGGACAGTGCTCTTCCTGAAGTCCACAATCATCTCCACTGTCTTCTGGGTGTTCAGCTCCAGGTTGTTACCACTGCACCAGGACACCAGCCGGTCCACCTCCCTCCTGTAGGCGGACTCATCGTTGTTGCAGATGAGTCCAATGAGGGTGGTGTCCACGAACTTGATCAGCTTCACGGAGTCGTGGCTGGAGGTGCAGTGGTTGGTGTACAGGGAGAAGAGCAGGGGAGAAAGAACACAGCCCTGTGGGGCTCCTGTATTTATAATCCGAGAGTCCGAGACATTCTTCCCCAGACGCACTCGCTGCTTCCTGTCTGTCAGGAAGTCAGTGATCCACCTGCAGGTGGAATCGGGCACGTTGAGCTGGGAGAGCTTGTCCTGGAGCAGGGATGGCAGGATGGTGTTGAAGGCAGAGCTGATGTCCACGAACAGGACCCTGGCGTAGGTCCCCGGGGAGTCCAGGTGCTGTAGGATGTGGTGGAGGGCCAGGTTAATGGCGTCGTCTACAGATCTGTTGGCTCTGTAGGTGAACTGCAGGGGGTCCAGGAGGGGGGAGGTGAAGGACTTGAGATGGGAGAGGACCAGGCGTTCAAATGACTTCATGACGACAGACGTAAGTGCTACAGGTCTGTAGTCGTTGAGTCCTGTGATCCTGGGCTTCATCGGGACGGGGACAATGATGGAGGATTTGAAGCAGGCCGGGACATGGCAGGACTGCAGAGAGGAGTTGAAATTGTCAGTGAACACAGGAGTAAGCTCACTGGCGCAGTATCTCAGAGTGGCCGGAGACACGTGGTCCGGGTCAGGAGCTTTGCGGCGGTGCAGCCTCAGGAAGAGTTGTTTAATCTCTTTAGAGGCTATTGTCAGGCTGGGGGCAGGGCTGATGGGTGGGTTGTTAGAGTAGTGGGGGGTGGGGGAGGGAGAGGTGTCAGGGGCAGCATCAAAGCGACTGAAAAATAAGTTCAGGTCGTCAGCTAGCTTGTGGTCGTCATCACAGAGGGGGGCTTTGGGCTTGTAGTGGGTGATCTCCCGTAGGCCCCTCCAGACAGAAGCAGTATCGTTGTTACCAAACTGCTACTGT